ATTACTGGAGCACCTGGGTGGATCAGTCGGTTAAGCGTCTGACTTCAGCTCAGGTCATGATCTCACGGTCCGTGGGCTCGAGCCCCACGTCGGGCTCTGTGCTGACAGCTCAGAACCTGGAGCTGCTTCAGATTCTGTGTCTCCCTCTCTCTCTCTCTCTGCCCCTCCCCTGCTCGCTCTCTGTCTCTGTCTCTCTCAAAATAAAATACATAAAAAAATTTAAAAAAAAACAAAAAACATAACTATTAATAGTCTGCTGTTGACCAGAAGCCTTACCAATAACAAAAACAGACGATTAAGGGAAATTCTAGGGTCGCCTGGGTGGCTCGGTTGCTTGAGTGTCCGACTACTGATTTTGGCTCAGGTCATGATTTTGCAGTTTCATGAGTTCAGCCCTGCATCGGGTTCTGTGCAGGCAGCGCAGAGCCTGCTTGGGATTCTGTCTCCCCTGCTCTCCCTGCCTCTCTCCCAACTCGTGCGCTCGCTCTCTCTCTCTCTCTCTCTCATTTTCTTAAGTTTATTAATTTGAAAGAGACAGCGCCCAAGCACAGGAGGGACAGAGAGAGAAAGGGAAAGAGAGAATCCCAAGCAGGCTCCGCACTGTCATGAGGAGGAGGAACCCAACACGGAGCTCAAACTCATGAACCTTGAGATCATGATCTGAGCCGAAACCAAGAGTCAGTTGCTTAACAGACAGAGCCACCCAGGTGCCCCACTCTAAAATAAATTAAAAACAAACAAATGAACAAACAAAAACAACACAGACCAAGGTGGTTTTGAGGCAGAAGTCAGAGTGGAAGGTGGGCTCTGAGAAGGGGGGATGCCAGAGGGGGCATGAGAGGCTTCTAGAGTGCTGGCAGCCTTCTGCCTTGATGAGAGAGGGGGCTGCATGAGTGTGTGCCTAATGGGGAAGTGCTTCAGACTGTTTGCCTAGGACTTGACCACTTTACGTACATAGGTACGTACCCTTTACGTATGAGTAAAATTTAAAGTTTAAGGTTAAAACCTTTAATTTTATTATTTTTTAATTTAAAAAATTTTAACATTTATTATTGAGAAACAGAGAGAGCAGAGCATGAGCACGGGAGGGGCAGAGAGAAGGAGACACACAGAATCTGAAGCAGGCTTCAGGCTCTGAGCTGTCAGCACAGAGCCTGATGGGGGGCCTGAACCCACAAGTGGTAAGATCATGACCTGAGCCAGTTGGATGCTCAACCAACTGAGCCACCCAGGTGCCCCTATTTTTTAATGTTTATTTATTTTTGAGAGAGAAAGAGAGAGCGAGAGAGAGAGCGAGAGCGCGTGAGCTGGGGGGAGGGGCAGAGAGAGAGAGAGAGGGAGACAGAATCCTAAGCAGGCTCCAGGTTCCGAGCTATCAGCACAGACCCTGAGATCATGACCTGAGCCAAAGTTAGAAGCCCAACCAAACGAGCCATGTAGGTGCCCCTAAAACCTTTAATTTTAAAAGTTTACAAAAATACACATTTGCAGTCACATTGACTCAGCAATCTAGCTTTTAGAGAGTTTTCCTTGAATCCATTATGATTAAATTCACACTTACATGCAGAAATCCCTTCAAATAACAGTGACTGAGAAAAGGTGAATGTTTTCTCACTATTAGGCAAACAAGTCCAAGGTCGACAGTCCAGAGTCCTTTCTTTCCATTCCATTGCCCACAGTGCTTGGGGGACAGAAGGAAGCAGAAGGGTCAAGGCGGGCTGGCAGATGGGAGTGTTTTCCAGGAAAACCAGCGCTGTTACGAAGAGACAGGGAGAGACTGGGCGGTGCTGTGGGCTTGGTCTCAGCCCCATAGACACCACTGTTGTGTACTCAAGGCCCAGATGACTGTCTCTTCCACACCAAAGCCCGGGCCACCGCCTCGGTCATGCAAGTTGTTCCGACAGGTGAGGGGGGGATGGAGGCCAGTGCTCGCCCTTCTACTGCAAGCGCCTGCTGAGGCTGCTTCCAGTGGGGGGAAGGCATGCCTTTCCCCATAGCGCCCAAAGGTGCCCTGGCTCTTCTACGCCCAGGACCTTGCCTTCCAGCCTCACTTGAGGCTCTTCTCCTGGGCTCACATCCTAGCCCTTGCCGTGGCTGGTAACTGCAGGCCATCCACCACCCTGGTTTAAATTTCCCAGTCAAGCCTTATGGTCACTCTTTTGCACACATCTTTACTCCAGTATCCCTCTCGTCCTTTGTCACACTCCCGGGCAAAACTCCAACACTGTCAAATCCAATTTTGCCTGCTCTGAGCCTGATTGTGGGCAGTACAGCACATCGCCGGGTCTTCCTCTGACCCTAACCTGCCTCCCTGACCAGATGTCTAACAGGATCCCCCCACCACACATCCCTACCCTGCCTCGATGTCTAACATGACCACACACACCACTAACCTGACTCCTGGCCTCATCCCTACCTAGATTCTCTAACCCCCCTGGCTGGGACACCTGTGCTGCCTGAATATTCCACCCCGTTTCTCTAAACTCTTGTCACTTGTGTTAACACGGAGCGACTGTGGAAAGTTAGGTTCAACCAGTGGGGAGCACAGGGAAAAGAAAAAGGGCTGTAAAAAAAGAAGGGAGAAAAAGCAAAAAGAGTCCACGATATAAAAACAGATCTGCTGCGCCAGGATTCCGCACACTTGGACTGCTGCATGCAGGGCAGGGGAGGAAGGCAGCCGCTCATGCAGGACAAGCTGGCAGGATGCCAAACTTCTTTTTAAAAAAAATTATTATTTTGTTAAATAAGCTCTATGCCCGACATGGGGCCTGGACTCACAATCCTGAGATCAGGAGGCACAGGTTCCCCACTACTTGCTGCTTTATATTTATGTTTATAAACCTTTTATAATAAGCACACGCTCTTTAGCTAATTAGAAAACCCAAAGTTTAAAGTTACTGTTAAAAAAATGAATTTCTCTAGGCGCACCGGGGTGGCTCAGTTGGTTGAGCATCTGATTCTTGGTTTTGGCTCAGGTCATGATCTCTTGGTTTCGCGGATTCAAACCCTGCCTTGGGCTCTGTGCTGACAGTACGGAGCCTGCTTAGGATTCTTTCTCCCTTTTTCTCTGCCCTGCCCTGCTCATGCTGTCCCTCTCTCAAAAATAAACAAATAAACTTAAAAAAATTAAATTTATCTAAAACTTTACCCTGGCAGTAGAGCTGCAGAAAACATCACAGATGGTGTTCGGAAGCACCCCTCCCCCACCCCTCAGCGTGCCCTCTGTGGACACCCTATTTTTGGCTTCTCCTCTCATGCAACCTGCTGGGCCAGAGGTGAAACATCCTAAGCGAAGTGAACACTGTTGCCTCATTTCCTCAGACCAGCCCGTCAGCCCCTCGGGCAGAACAGAGCCAGGGAGCCCCGCCCCCCACTGCCCTTCGAAGTCCTGTGGCCTCCCCCCCTCTGTGGCGCTTCCCTCCCTGCTCTTCAGAGCTTCTAAACTGCGCCTTCGAGAACAGAGGGCCAATGTCAGCTACCAGTACTAGCGCAAGTCAGCTCCTGCGCCTTGGGCGTTGAAAGGCCAGTCCTGTCTGATCCGGAGCACGTATTTGTCCCCACTCAGACCTGACCTTGGGTAGGGGGACAAAGATTGTCCTTCCTTTTTTTTTTATTTTTTAAAATGTTTTACTTATTTCTGAGAGAGAGAAAGAAAGAGCGTGAGCAGGGGAGGGTCAGAGAAAGAGGGAGTCACAGAATCCGAAGCAGCTCCAGGCTCTGAGCCGTCAGCACAGAGCCCGACGCGGGGCTCGAACCCACGGACCGTGAGGTCATGACCTGAGCCGAAGTCGGATGCTCAACCGACTGAGTCACCCGGGCGCCCCAAAGATTGTCCTTCCTTATCGCACCACTGCCTCCTGGGGGACGTGTAGAAAAGAAGCCCGGCTCTACGGTTGTTTGGCCTTGAAGGCCTCGGCTCCAGGCATCCACGTGCTAGGACGAACTCTGCATTGAAGCCTCACTGCCCAGCCCCAGGCAGGCACGGTGCCCTCTCCCCAGTGCCCTGCACTACCTAGCTCCGTGTTCTCCCACCTGCGACGGGCACTGCAGCCCCACCCCAGTCCAGCCTGGCAGTTCTGGTGCAGGAAAACCACCGCAGGCGGGCCGTCTCTTCCCGGCGGTGAGGGCTGAGCGCTGGGGGAGCCTTCTGGGGAGAACGCCGGTCAGCCAAACTCAGTGTCTTCACATTGGGGGGCCTGCTAAGGCCGGCAGGTCCTCATTCGCGCACCGCAGCGAACAGACTTGCCGGAAGTGTGCACTGCAGAACCTCCACCAAACAGCACCCTGGGGCAGCATTAGCGAACAGGAGCCGGACAGAAGGGACCAGAAGGAGGGAAAACACCTTCCAAGCAAAGGGCCAGAGTGGAGCATAGCATGGGGGGGGGGGAGGGGGGGCAGTGTGGCGCGTCCCGAGAAAGGGCTTGGTGCCACCGGGTTGAAGTGCAGGCTGGCGGGAGTGGCCTTCTGGGGAAGACCGCGTCTACTGGGCCCCAGAGGCTGGCCACCCCATTTTGCCCAGGCCGCCCTTCCTGCGTCACCTCACCCATCCCCGCACGACCGTCGCAAAGAGGACCCCGTCTTAGGAAAGGCGACTGTGGGGTTTAAAGATCCTGTACCGAGACACTTCTGGGGGCGGGCGTTCCGCGAGGTGGGGGCGCTGCCCTGGACCGGAACCGAGCCCGACCAGGGTCTCTGCCACACAAGCCGGGCTGTCGGCGCCCCACCCTCGCCCCGCAAGCGTCCCCGCAGCCGTGCGTCGCGCCGCCGCCGCTCGGACGCGGAAGGGACCATCACGCGTGCGCAGCGGCCACGGCCGGCCGCGCGCCGGCTGCGCGCCGAGACCCAGAATGCCGTGCGCCCTCGGGGGCCGGCCGTCGCGGGGCATGCCGGGACTCGTAGTCCGCGGCGCCGCGGGCCCGCCCCGTACCAGGCGGGCGGCGGGCGCCCGAGGGGCCCAATGGGAGCGGCGGCCCGGCCGCCCCGCCCCGCGCCGCCGGACGCTGTGCCGGGACATGGCTGCCGCCGGTGCCGGCTCCTTGAGCTGAGCGTCGGCCGCCGAGAGCCAACCGCTGCCCTGAGGCGTCCGCGCGGGCGGGCCGAGGCGCCGGCGGGCCGGCGAGCAGCCGCGGCCGCTGCGGAGGACGAGGAGGCCACAGGAGGAGGCCAGAGCGGCCGCCGCGGCCCGGCACATGGCGTCCATCTTACTGAGGAGCTGCCGCGGCCGGGGGCCCACCCGCCTGCCGCCGCCCCGCGCCGCCGCCCCGAGGGGTAAGCAGGCGGCGCGCCGCCGACGGCGCGGGGCCGGGTGGGAGCTGGGGGCCGCCGCCGCCGGCGGGGTGCCCGGGGCTGGGCCCGAGCCCAGGAGCCGGGGCCGGGGGCGTTAGGAGGACAGGAGCGGGGGCCCGGGAGTCCCGGCCGACGCCGAGACCGGCGGCCGGCAGAGGCCTCGGGCCCAGCGGCCCCGCGACTCCCCAGCGCGGGGCCGCGCCCCGGCGGGATTGGGAGGGTCGGGGCGCTCCGGCGCGGCCCGGGGCTGGGGTCCTGCCGGGCCGGGACCTCGGGCGGCCGTCGGGGCGTGGGTGCCGCGTGCGGGGCGGCTCGGGGCGGGCGGCGGCCTGTGACTCACCCGCGCTGTGACCTTAGCCGCCCGGCTGCTGGCCGCCGCGTCCGGAGCGGGCTCTGGAAAGTTGTTTGAAGGGAGCGCGCTGACGGCCAGCCCTGGGGTGTCCGGGCGCGCCTCTCGCCCTTAAGCTCGGTGGAAGTGGTGTTCACTCGCTGGGACGGTCGTGCCCTTGGGCCACGTTTAGGGCGCTTGACATGAGCCGGCCTGGGTCTGTGGCCTTGCGGGACATCCGTGGGGCCGATATCCTTACAGTACTGTGGGTATGTGTCGAGGGGTCCCAGACTGGTCCTTTTGTACCCCCAGGCTCTGTGACTCTATCTGCTCACAGAGAGATCACAGATGTGATCTTGAACTTGGGGTTCTTAGGCGTCTACATGTCAGTAGCCAGCACTTCCTTTCTGACTCTCCCTTTTGACTTTAACCTTTCTGAGTTTGTTACTTATTTGTAGGATTGGGGCTTGCCCTACAAACGTTAGAGACTCAAGTGAAACATATTTCAAGGTACCGTACAATTCACGGAAGCGCTCCCAAGAGACACGATTCTTGTAATTTTTCACAACGGCTAGTTGGCTGCTTAGAACTTTGGAGCCAGGGGAAGGGCATTGAGCAGCAAGAACTGACGGTGTGAATGGTCTGTGTGTCCAGTCAGCCTTCAGGCTTCACCTTCTGCCCTTAGAGATTTCCCTACGTAGGACGGTAAGAAAACAGTCTGGCCGCTTGAGTTTCTGTGGCGTGTTTACAGTTAAAAGTTAGCGGAGTTTGTTCTGTGGTTGTATTGTTCTGGGACCACGGATGTTTCTTGTGGTTGGCACTGCTCTGTATTACACGGGGAGGGGCTGAGGGGGAGTCAGACCTCCGGGCTGCTGCGGGACCAGCAGAGAATCCAGAGCCTGTGAGACCCAGGACTGGACTGTGGGGCACACTCCTGAACCCTCTGAGACGGCACTCCCTGCTGGGTGCAGCAGGCCTTCTCTGAGGCACATTTCCCCACCACTAACCTCTCCTATCATCTTGGCTCGTGGTCATAAGTAATAAACCAGCATTGGCACATTATTACTGACTGAGGTCCATAGTGTGTTCAGATTTCTTTTATTGTGTTCCATACTTCATTACAATTTTTATTTTGTGATTTACATACTCTTTATTCTGCATATACTTTTCTATTTGTTAGAAATATATCCGTCACATCTTTAATTTGCACATATTTTACTCTGATGTTTTTCTTTGTCCCAGGATCTTATCCAGGAATTCCAAGTTCCATGTTGTTGGTATTTCTCTTTATATTTAAAAAAAAATTTTAATGTTTTTATTTATTTCTGAGAGCGAGACGCACACACACACACACACACACACACACACACAGCGTGAGCAGGGGAGGGGCAGAGAGAGAGAGGGAGACACAGAATCCAAAGCAGCTCCAGGCTCTGAGCTGTCAGCACAGAGCCCGACGCAGGGCTCGAACTCACGAACCGTGAGACTATGATGTGAGCCAAAGTCAGATGCTTAACCAGCTGAGCTACCCAGGCACCCCTGGTATTTCTCTTTATAGTCTTGGCTGTGACACATTCCTCAGGCTTTCCTTGACAGTTTTGAGGACTGTTTTTGATTTAGTGTAGAATGCCTCTCTATTGGGATTTTTTGGAATTTTTCTTTTTTTTCAAATTTTCTCTTTTTTTCTTTTTTTATAATTTTTAAAAATATTTTTATTTATTTCTAGGAGAGAGAGAGACAGTGTGAGCAGGGGAGGGGCAGAGAGAGAGGGAGATACAGACTCCGAAACAGGCTCCAGGCTCTGAGCTGGCAGTCAGCACAGAGCCCGACGCGGGGCTCGAACCCACGAACCGCGAGATCATGACCTAAGCAAAAGTCGGACTCTTAACCGACTAAGCCACCCAGGCGCCCCTACTTTTTTCTTTTTATTAATATATGTTTATTTTTGAGAGAGAGAGAGAGAGCAAGAAAGAGAGACAGACAGTGCAAGCAGGGGAGGGGCGGAGAGAGGGAGACACAATCAGAAGCAGGCTCCAGGCTCCAAGCTGTCAGCACAGAATCTGACATAGGGGGTGAACCTACAAACCGTGAGATCATGAGCTGAGCCAGAGTCGGATGCTTAACTGACTGAGCCACCCAGGCGCCCCATGTTTGGGACTTTTTCATGGTTACACTGGGGTTATGTGCTCTGGGGAGGAAGATCCCAGGTGTAATGCCCTCCTCACATCCTACCAAGGATGCCTGCTAGCAAGAGGATTTTTGTAGTCAGTATTGACCATGATCACCGAGCCAAGTTAGTATTTGTCAGATTTCTCCACTCTGGGGAGTTCCTCTTTACCCCCTTTTTGCGCCATGCTTTGGAAGTTGCTGTGTGGGGCACATACTTGGGAGCAGGCTGGGGCCCTGTAGAGGGGAACTGACCAGATTGCCACTGGGTGAGAACAGTGAGGTCCTGGCCTTTGGCCATTATTCTCTCTCTCTCTCTCTCTCTCTCTCTCTTTTTATTTATGAGAGAGAGAGAGAGGAAGTGTGAGCAGGGGAGGGTCAGAAAGAGAGGGAGACACAGAATCTGAAGCAGCTCCAGGCTCTGAGCTGTCGGCACAGAGCCCGATGCGGGGCCTGAACCCACGAACCACGAGATCATGACCTGAGCTGAAGTCTGACGCTTAACCGACTGAGCCACCCAGGCGCCCCGTTTTGGCCATTATTGAAGCAGGGAGGACTCAGGGAGGAGCAGGCTGGGGCAAGCCACGAGTTCTTGGAGCTGTTGAATGGGAAGTGCTCCAGGGACCTCAGAGGCCCCCTGTCCTCACAGTTACTCAGATGCAGAGTGCCGGAAGGGGCCGGAGGTGGGTGGGGAGGGGGAGCGAGGTGGGTGGGGAGGGGGAGCGGCGGGCAGGGAGCCCTGTCTCCTGGAAACCAGGTGGAGGAGGGTGTGGGATGTGAGGAAATACGTTTAGCCTATGCTCTGTCATGCTTCTGGCAGGGTTCTTAAAACTTTTGGTATTTCCTGAAAGAAAGGGGTGTTTTTTCTTATTTATAATGAGCCCCCTTTCTTCACACCTATGCTAATGAGGTATCTGAGCTTAGAGGGTTGGATCTTCTAAGCCAACCCCAGCCTTCAGGGATGGGAAGGGGTGTGAGGATTGAGCTCAGGCGCCAGAGGTCCCGCCTGGGTAAGTGAGAACAGCGTGTGGACAGGGAGGCTGGGGGCTCGGCATCTGCAGGCACTGACCCCCAGGTAGAGGCTCCTGCACTCGGGAGTCTTGCAGACTCGGTAGGTACCTCACCATCTGGCTGTTCCTCCCGTCCTTTCTAATAAACTGAATAGTACATAGAGCACTTTGCTGAGCTCTGTGCTGTTCTGGAGAATTAACAGAACTGAAGGTGATCATAGGAACCCCCAAGTTTGCAGTTGGCAGATGTGTGGGTGACCTGGGGACCCTGCTTGCAACTGGTGTGTCAGGTGAAGCAGTCTCAGGCCGAGTGGGTCTGCGTTAACTCCGGGAGAGTCAGCCTTGAATGGTGGTCAGGGTGCCTGGACGGCCCAGGTCACGATCTCACAGTTCATGAGTTCCAGCCTTGTGTTGGGCTCTGTGCTGACAGCTCGGAGCCTCAAGCCTGCGCCGGATTCTGTGTCTCCCTTTCTCTCTGCTCCTCCCCCACTCATGCTCTGTCTCTCTGTCTCTCAAAAAATAAAATGTTAAAAAAGAATGATGGGATGTCCAGCTGGTGCTGGAGAGCTAGAGAATGGGTTGTTGGGAAAAAACAAAAGAAAAGGACTTCTAGGAGGAAAGAGCAGCCCATCCATGAACCGTATCTCAAGAGCCCCCATCACCCCCAGGAGCGGGGTTTCTCCAAGGGCCAGGAAAGCCTTCAGAGTGGGGAGATTGTGGGAAGGGACCAGGTGGGACCCGGGATGCGCAGTTCACACAGTGTAGAGGTGGGGGGATTGGCCAGGCAGCTCTGAGGCTGTGATGGCTTGTCTGCTTGCTGGGGGGCGGGCGGGGGGGTGCACAGGACAGGGCTGCAGGGAGCAGACCCGGGGGGGGTGCAGGGGGTATGCAGGGCAGGGGGCATGCCCGGAGTGGGGGTACATGGTGGGGGGAGGGGGGTCGGAAGGGCGTGTGCAGGGTTGGGGTGCAGGGAGCAGACCCAGGGGAGGGTGCGGGGGAGGGAGGGGGAGTGTGCAGGGCAGGGGGCTGGTCCAGGGCAGGTGTATGTGTTTGTGGGGGGTGTCCGGGCAGGGGGCAAGGGGCTGGTCCAAGAGGGGCGTGCGCAGGGCGGGGGTGCAGGGGGCTGGCCCAGATCTGGGAGATTTCTGTTTGGTCCTCAGCTGGAGTGAGAAGGACTTGGTGTGACTGGAAAGGCGATGTTTAGAATGTAAAAGATTCCTTTATGAACCACAGTGACTGCGTGTGAGCCCAGACCCAGCTTAAAACAAGGCTGTCACCGTATACAGAGTCCTACATTTGGTGTTTCATGGGAATACGAGAGTTGCCTGTGAGGACACCAGGCTCCTCCTGAGTTACATAAAGTGACAAGTGGAAGTCCCTGTCCCCAGAGGGCCCACTGGGAGCAGCTTGGGTGTACCCTGCCTGGCCTGCCCCGAGCGTGTCCAGGAGTGGGCCCCCGTCCCTGCCGCGCACGTCTTCTCCCCTCCCTTCTCACGCTGGCTGCCTGTGGGTCGTAGGGTGCCTGCTGCCAGCAGGGGTCTCTGGCCCTGCTGTCCCCAGGATCCCCAGTATCTGTCTCGTCCCCTCCACAGCTGGTTTCCCCAGCACAGGGTGTGACCACAGGTCACGTGACTGGACTCTGAATTTATGCCTAGGAGAAGCATCAAAAATACACGAAAATCCTAAAAGTGCTGTACGCTCAGCACTAATGTTTGTCCAAGATACGGCTTTCTTTTGTGATGCTCATAACCCTTCCGGTGATGCTCATAACCCTCGCCCTCCTGTGGGCAGAGAAGTTGGGGGGCCCTTTGGATTGGGCCCTCGTTTGCTCGGAGGGGCTGTCTGTGCCCTGGAGGGGGTCCCATGCAACTGGGCATCAGCTGGAGCAAGTAGAGAGGGGTCCCGCCTGTGGAGACCTGCAGGCCTGGGCTCTGGGCCCTCGGCTGGTGGAACCCGGGGTCCCCGGTCGGCGTGCGTGAAGCTGGGGCTGCCTCGTGCCTCAGGTCCCCCTTCTTCCCTAGGACCATCCCGAGACACCGTGTCCCTAACTGGACAGACCTTTCGCTTAGCAACACCTGAAACCTTCCAGCACTCAGGCCACGCTTCCAGACTCTTACTCTGCGAAAGAAATGGGCACCCTTTCAGACTCTAAAAGATGGTGTCAGTGTAAAATGCCTGGTCTGACACTAATTTTTTTGTTTTTTCTGTGTTTTTGTCATAGGTAGTCCTGGAGAGCCCATTTGTCTCAGTTGTGCTAACGCGGTGGGGCTGATAAGCCACTTGTAAGTAAATCACATCCCTCCCCGTCCTTCTGTAAGTGGGAGCTTGGAAGCGCTCGAGTGATGTGTGACTGACTCCTGATCGTGGGGACACGGTACTTCCTACGTTCCTGGTTTTTGTTTTATTTCTTTTTGCCCTTTATCTTTTCATTTTGAAACACATAACCACGTATGTTAGTGGATCTTTGGAAAACAGACATTCATAGTCTGAGTATCTGTTGCAAATATTATTAGCATTTTGGTGAATTTTATTCTAGTCTTTTTTTCATCTGTTATTTATCATTTAAGTGTTTTTATTTAGTTTTGAGAGCAGGAGAGAGAGTGTGAGCGGGGGAGGGGCAGAGAGGGGGACAGATGATCCGAAGCAGGCTCTGTGCTGACATCAGCAAGCCTGATGGGGGATTTGAACTCACAAACCACGAGATCATGACCTGAGACACAGATGAGCATCTGCCTTCCGACTGAGCCACCCAGACGCCACTTCAAGTCCCTTCATGGACTTGTGCAAAAAGACATTGGCTGCTCCAGGCAGCATTGCAGGTGTGGGGCCCCATCAGTGAACATACTAGACTTTCCCTTGAACCCCATTTGCTTCACAGAGCATCATGTTAAGTGAGTGGTGGCCACAGGGCTTACCCCCACCTGGTTCTGGAGTGTGGTGGACTTAGCCATTCCCTCTGGTGAGAAGTCTGTCATACTATTGCAAGGCTGGAGGGCTTCTTGGAGGGAGTGGCATCCATACTTCCCTGTCCACTGTCGCATGTGAACTCCTCTCAGGATTCCTGTTGTCTCCCACCTGCATCACCTCTGCCCAGCATCCCGAGCATAGTTTCCTTCTGGTCCCTGTCACCTGCGTGGTGGGGTGGCCAGACCTCTCTCCGGATCCCAGGCCCTTGTCCACTTGCCCCAGACCCAGAGTGGAGCCCAGCTCCCCCGTCCCTGATTCTCCCTGTTGGACAGTGCAGGACCCGCTTCCCGTGCCGTCCAGGTGGCCCCTCATAGCCTCTTGCCCATGGAACCATGGGGTCTTTTGAGTTTTTTACTCATTTGAAATTGTTAATTTGTTACCTCATCTTGGCTGTAACACCTTTCTGGAGAGGGGCGCCTGGGGGGCTCAGTCGGTTAGGCGTCCGACTTCGACTCAGGTCATGATCTCACGGTTCATGACTTCCAGCCCTGCGTCGGGCTCTGTGCTGACAGCCGAGTCTGCTCGGGATTCTCTCCCTCTCCGTCTCTTTGCTCCTCCCCTGCTTGTCTCTGTCTCTCAAAATAAAGTAATAAACATTTTTTTTTTTAAAGACCTTTCCTCTCTCGGGTAAAGGCCCCTATCTGTATGCAGGCCGCATGCGCGCATTGAAGGCAGGTCCCCAGACGGGTTGCATTTGGTCTTGTGAATGGGCCTCCTGCCACTGTCTCTGAGTGCTTATTGCTGGCATGTGAGTTACCAGTCGCCTGTGTCCAGCGGCCTCTCAGCTCTGTTGGCCATGGTTTAGTTCCTCCCGTAACCGTATCCTTCGTGGTGGGGACGCCCTGGGACTTGGTAACAGTAACAGCGTGTGTCTTCTCTCGCTTCTGCTGCAGCGGCTTCTCTCCAGCCAGGTCAGAAGCGCTGCGGCCAGAAGCAGGGTTTTGGCGTGGGGTCTGGAGGGTGGGCTTTTGTTTATTTATGTGTTTATTTCTGAGAGAGAGACAGCGTGAGCAGGGGAGGGTCAGAGAGAGAGGGAGACATAGAATCCAAAGCAGCTCCAGGCTCTGAGCTGTCAGCACAGAGCCTGACGCGGGGCTCGAACCCACGAACTGTGAGATCATGACCTGAGCCGAAGTTGGACGCTTAACCGACTGAGCCCCCCAGGCGTCCCTGCACTAACATGTTTTTACTAGAAATAGATTTTGAATTTTTCAGGCACCTTTTAAGAGCCAAATGTACTGCATTTAAGATTTATATTAAAATATAAGCACTGTGCTCTATTAATGTGAATTTTTTATAAGTTAACAATTTTTACAAAGTTAAGCAATGAGGGATGCCTGACTGGCTCAGTCGGTGGATCATATGACTCTTAATCTCGGGGTCAGTCGTGGGTTCAAGCCCCACACTGGGTATAGATTACTTAAAATTAAGTGAAATAAGAGGATATATAAAAAAAAGGAAAATAAAGCAATGAGAACTTTATAGCTATTTTGCTGGACTCATGCATTTGAAATGAGCAATTATAGGTGAAAGTTGAAGTGTTATATTACATGCAGGACATGTTACTTGGTACTTTGACAGCACAGATAAGTACAGGTGACCCTTGGACAAGGCAGGCAGGGCCGGGCGCCCCAGCCCCTGTGCAGCCGAAAATGCACGTATGACTTTTGACTTCCGGAAAACTTAGCTACCGATGGCCTGCTGTTGACTGGAAGCCTTGCCGGACATAAAGAGTCAATTAGCACGTGATTTGTGCCACATCCTAGGCTGTAGTCTTACACTGAAGCTAGCTAGACGAAAGGAAACTTCAGAAAACGGTCAGGAAGAAACACAGGACCGTCCGCGGTTATGAAAAAGCCTCGGCATGGACGTGGCCGGCATGGTTGTCCGAGGCCAGCATGGGGGCGGTGCTGTGTGTGGGGTTCTGTCCTCTCGGTCTTCGGCTCAGGTGGTGCCCACCCCAGAGGGTGAGCAGCTGCACAGTTCCTGAGCCAGGACCGCTCCTTGGGCGTTACCTAGCTGCCCTTGACCTCCTGCATCCTGGATGCCCTCCTGCATCCTGGATGCCCTCCTCCATCCTGGATGCCCTCCTCCATCCTGGATGCCCTCCTGCATCCTGAAAGTCAAGGCAGAGAGGGAGCACCTGGGATGGGAACAAGCGAGGTGCAGCTGCTCCATTGCAAAGCTCCCCAAGCGCTGGAGCTTGTTCAGCGGGGGTGGGGTGGGGGGGGTGTCTCCTACCTGGGACTGTTCTGGGGACTGGTGGCGGCCGCTTCCCTGGCCCCCAGAGTGTTGCTGCAGGGTACGCTGGACGCCACATGGCCTCGCGGGCTCTGAGGTGTTGTGGGCGGCAGCCTCTGGCTCCCCCGCCGAGGGGCAGCGTGTCCCGCAGCCTGTGTCACCTCTCGTCTCCGGGCAGAGAGGCGCCTGCTCCTGAAACCATTCCTCCTGGCCCTGGTACCTGTTGCTTTAACGTCCACTTTTGCTTCCCTTTCTTGTTGCTGTGTCCCTCGGCCCTTGCTGGCACCATGTCCCTGAAGGCCTGAAGGTGGCACGTTGAGGGTTGGTACCCTCCGTGGCCCAGCCTCAGGTCATCGTTTGGCTGAGCTGTCCCCTTGGGAACGGGACGTGTCAGGTGTCAAGTGGCCCGCAGGTGTTGTGCCTGTGGCACCTTTATGGGAGTCCAGAGGGCGCCCTGGGGAGAGCAGGCCCTGTCCCTCTGCCTGCCCTCCTGTGGCCGTGCAGCTGGTGCTGTGAGGCACGGAAGTGCCCAGACCCTGTGAACACATTCCTTTGCCGGGCACTACTTAGGCCTTCTCTTTTTGTTAAGATTTCATTTCATTTCGTTTCATTTCATTTCATGTATTTATCTTGAGAGAGAGAGAGAAAAAGTGTGCGTGTGTGTGTGTGTGTGTGTGTGTGTACGCGCGTGCATGTGCACACACACACACGCAAATGGAAGTGAGTCAGAGAGAGAGAGAGGAAGAGAGAATACCAAGCAGGCTCCACACTCTTAGTGCAACACCCAGTGTGGGTCTTGATCTCACAAACTGAGATCATGACCTGAGACAAAATCAAGAGCTGGACACTTAACTGACTGAGCCCCCAGGCACCCCAAAATTTTATTTTATTCTTAATTTTTAAAAATTTTATTTGAGAGAAAGAGAAATGAACAAGTGGAGGAGGGACAGAGTAGGGGTGGGGGAGAGAATCCTAAGCAGGCTCTGCACGCCTCGTTGAACCTGATGTGGGGCTCGATCCCACAACTGACATGCCCTGACCTGAAATTAAGAGTCAGACGCTTAACTGACTGAGCCCTCCAGACGCTCCCACCCCCAAGATTTTCTTTTCTTTAAAAACAAAACAAAACTTTTTTTTATAGTTTATTTATTTTTGAGACAGAGCGTGTGAGTGGGGGAGGGTCAGAGAGAGGGGAGATACAGAATCTGAGCTGTCAGCACAGAGCCTGATGTGGGGCTTGAACCCACGAACCGTGATATCATGGCCTGAGCCGAAGTCGGACGCTTAACCAAGTGAGCCACCCAGGTGCCCCGATTTTGTTTTCAAGTAATGTCTACACCCAGAGTGGCGCCTGAACTCACCAACCCCATGATCAAGAGTCCAATGCTTCGGTGCCTGGGTGGCTCAGTCGCCTGAGTGTCTGACTTTTGACTTCTGCTTGGGTCATGATCTCATGGTCAGGGGGTCGGGCTCTGCGCTGAGTGCGGAGCTGCCTAAATTCTGTCTTTCTCTCTGTCTCTCCTGTCTCTGCCCTTTTCCCTCACTTGGGCTCACTGTCTTTAAAAAAAAAAAAAAAGGCACATGCTCTGCCCCCCAAGTCACCCAGGCACCCCTGCTTTTCCTCTTCTTGAAGGTGGCAGCCAGTGGTCAGTGTCCAGGTGGACGCGGGAGGCCACACCCTTAGGTGAAGCGAGCACCTTGGACAGGAGTCCCTGCGCTTTCTCGTGGGAACAGACAGCCCTCTAGGGACTGTACTTTCTGTGTCCAGAGTGGTTTTCCCCACTTTGAAGGGAAGCGAAGAAAAAAGCAGGAGAAGGCGTGGTGGTGGGAAGCTGGGCCCGCTGACCCCGTGGGGGCGAGGTGGGCAGGCGCTTCTCAGGAGGGACGCCGAGCCGTGGGCTGTAGCGAGCTGGGGCAGAGCAGGGTCCCAGCCCGCCCAGGGGAAGGCAGCAGTGCCCAGGTGAGTTGTGTTTTGACAAATATTTTTAAAGTAACAAGTTATGCAATGTTATGATTTTTGAAAACAGCTAAGCCTTTCAGGTAGAATCTTAGTAATGTTAGTCGCTAACGTGCTTGAAAATAATCAAGTCCTGGAGCCTCACTGGCCAGAGGACATGCTGGGCCTCTGCTTGCTGCACTCTCACGGTCTCAGTCCTTGCCGGGTGGCCACCCCGCGCACGGCTGACATGCCTCCTGGTGGAAGCCAGCTTCGTCCTCGCGCACTGAGCGCTAATTAAGTTTGACAGAGGTAGACGGCAGGTTCGCCCCCGCATCAGGAGGTGAGGCCGAGGCATAGAAGGCAGTCTGTGGCCACAGTCCCACAGCCATAAGTGACCGAGCAGGTCTGCTGTGCTCTGTGCTGCCTGTCCCTCAGCAGCTGTGACCCAGTCGGGGCAGGGTGGGTGCAAGGCCACCCACTTCCAGCTCGGGTGTTGACTGTGGGGCCCCATGGCTCACGGCGCAGGACTGACCCTGCCCTTTGAAGGCAGGAACGGGGGCCCTGGACAGGCAGGAGGCCAGCGAGAGGCTGCTCAGTGGGTGTCCAGTGATGCCCTGTGCCGGCTGTCCCCACGCGACACAGGCTGTGAACCGAGGTGGGCATGCCCCCGTCTGTCCTTCGGCACTTCCCACCTGGAGGGGGTGCGGCCGAACCGGACATTCCCTGGCTTCCTCCAGCCCTGCTTGGTGGCTGCCAGCTCCCTGGTAGGTGTCACTGTGTGCCCGACGCTCCCTGGGCACTTCACATGTGCGTCACCGCGTCCATTTATGGAGGATACTCACGGAGCACAGAGAGGTTAATTAACTTGTCCAAGGTCTCAGCACCAAGTAGTGGGTTGGGATTTGGAGAGGGACAGGCCACTACCAGCAGGTGGGAAGAGGCTGGGCTGTGTGGGTTATGAGCATGAGCCTGCGAGGTGGCTTGGAGGCTGTGGCCTCCCTGGGGTGGGTGCAGGCCGGCAGGGGAGCGTTGTCTGCTGTGACGGGTGGGGTACAGAGCGGATCGCGGGGCTCCAAGAGTCGTGCAGGCCAGGAGCGCCAGGCCGAGCTCGTCGAGGCTCTAGGCCGAGCAGAGGGAGCAGCGCGGGGAAGAAAGGGAGGAGGGGGCTCGGATCGTGAATCTTGGGGTTTTGCCATCTTGCAAAACGGCTCTGCCAGGCGGTGCGCGGGTTTGGGTCCGTGTGGGTTTGAGCGTCCTCACTGACTTCGGGGACTCGCTCAAAACTGCAGGTCTTTGCAGAAAGTCACCAGGAAGGGAAAGGACTTCCCTGCCTCTGCCCTCACCACCAAATTCCCCAAGTCTGGGAACCCACCTCGGAGACCTGCCCCGAGGTCGGGTCTGTAGTCCAGGGCTCCGGGGTCAAGCTTCTGTTCGTGTCCAACCTGCCCTTTGATCCCCTGGGCCCCGCTCCAGGCCCCTTGGTGTCCTGGTGCCCTCCATGAGCCCGCGGGGACCGGCTGCTCTCCACCCCTCACACAAGCCCCTTCCTGGCAGCTCCTTCTCCTCCTGATGTGTTTTCCGGGCATGCAGATGCAGTGGGGGAGTTAGTGTCCGGTGCTGGGAAGGTGGAGTGTCGAGTGGTTGTGACGCGGCCCTGGCGCGTGTCGCTCTTGCTGGTACGAGGTGCCGGGAGGTCGCAGGCGGTGGCCGCCCCTCAGTGCTGTTTTCCTTTCTCTCCTCCAGGAATGTTTCGTTTCGCTGCTGCACTCCCACCCACCCCGTGTACCTGGCCTTCAGAGCCGATCCCCGTGGCTGCTGGACTGCGAGGCCCGAGCGTGTATGCTCTGCGGCCCGACCGCCATGGGCCCCCATCCCCGCCGGCCTGGTCGCCACAGGGCCGCGATTCCTTCCCACGCGCTGCTGGCACTCGTCGCCCCCGCTGGGCGACGACTCTGTGGTGGAGAAGTCCCTCAAGTCCTTGAAGGACAAGAACAAGAAGCTGGAGGAGGGAGGCCCCGTGTACAGCCCCCCGCCGGAGGTGACCGTGAAGAAGTCCCTGGGGCAAAGGGTCCTGGATGAGCTGAGGCACTACTACCATGGCTTCCGCCTGCTCTGGATTGACACCAAGATCGCGGCCCGCATGCTCTGGCGGGTCCTCCACGGCCACAGCCTGACCCGCAGGGAACGCAGGCAGGTAACGGCACTTGGCCGCTCCTGGGCGGGCCGCCACTCAGGTGCTCTCACATCCTCCGGGGCCTGGCTTGCTGCCACTTGATTAAAAGATGATGATAATAACAGGCAGCTCATGCCATGAACCTCCCTGTGCCACCGCTCATGATCTCTCGGTGCCTCTGCGTCTGCTGTCCCTCGTGGCCGGGACCTGTGCCACTGCATCGGCCTTCTTGCCTGTCGCAGGAGGCCTGTGTCCACCGGGCGGACTTCTTGTGCGGGGTGGCTGCCTTTTCTGTCGTGTTGCTTCCACAAGTCTGTCTTTCGGGCTGTGCCTGTCCCTCTGTGGGCTGGGTCTTATTTATCCTTGGGGCTAAGCTCCTGGCTCTGAGGTCTCACCTCTGGCTTCAGCTCCAGAACCTGCCCACTCACCTGCTTGTCAGCTGCCAGAAGCTTCTGGTCTGGCATTTGGTGCACCAGCTTTCTCTGCCATTCACCAGCTTTTTTCTTTTAAAGCTATTTTTTTTAAGGTTATTTATTTTGAGAGAGTGAGTGTGAGCAGGGGAGGGGCAGAGAGAAAGGGAGAGAGAGAATCCTAAACAGTCTCCTCACTGTCAGCACAGAGCCTGACTCGGGGCTTGATCCCACGAACCGTGAGAGCATGACCCGAAATCAAGAGTCCCACACTTAACTGACCCAGCGCCCCAGGCGCCCCTGCCGCTCACCAGCTCTTAAAAAAAGATTGTTCCTATTCTTGTAGGAGCTCAGACCTTCTAGGTGTCTTGTTTTGTCTGAAATAGCTGACAGTTACACTGTAGGCTTTTCTTTTTTCTTCCCTTCTTGCTCTTCTCTTTTTTGGAGAGTTCCCGGGGGGCAAAGAGCAGCTCTAAGTTCTCAGCGCCCTAGGATTCTCCAAGGAAAAGTGCAGAAATCTCTTTTCCCTTGAAGTTGACTACTGGAGGATTCCTTTGTGAGAAAACAAGGACTTGATTTGAACACAACGTTGGGAGTTGGCTGCTACATGTGAGAGTTACTCTGGCTTCTGATTTTATACTTGTTCTCAAGCACTTCGTGGAGAACCTGGGTCGGAGTTGTTTAACTGGCCAGAGTTGCCCCCGGGATGCCGCGGTAGAGGGAGCAGATGGATCGTTGGAAGAAGGACGGTGTGTATTGGGATTTCAGGATCATCCCGTTAGTGTCTGTCGGGTGTTGATGACAGTGTGCGTTGCTGAGTTAATCACAGTGTATGTAATGCCTTATGCCCTGGACGCCCATGCGCTCCTCGCGCGTCCCGCTGCAGGGTTTGCTGCTGCGCTGAAGGTGGTGAGACTGAATAAAAACAAAATAGAAAGAGTGGGAGCAGATGAGCACGTGCCAGAGGGGAGGTCCCGGTGTGCGTGTGGCCTGGCAGGGCGACACCCGTTTCCGGCGTTCGGAGAGCACTTGTGGGGCTGTGCTTTCTTCTCCTTGATTCAGGGCCTTCCGGGTAGTTTGACTTTGAACAGAATGTCAGCAGTCCTGATAATCCTAGAAGAGTGACTCTTGCAATTAGGATATTTACAAAAGCAAAGCTGTTATCAGATAATTTGTATGAGTATCGTTTAGGTGGAAGATAGATTTGAAACGTGAATTTAACTCTTGCTGTCACTGTGAAGCAGAATCTACCAAGTGACGATTGCTTGCCCACCAGTAGGGCAGGTGAGCTGGGTTTGGAGCCGTGAGGCAGGCTAGTTGTCCCCCACGACGGGGCGTAGTTGCTGTGGTGACCTTGGTACAGAGGAGACGCCGCGTGGACAGCTGGTGCGTGTGCTTGGCCGAGGGACCAGTGGGGCGAAGCTGCCGGTGCTGGGATCACGAGTGACCCCCTTGGAGTCAGACCCCCCCCCCCCGCCGCGGAGCCTTGGTGGCCTCGGATGGTTGGTCCCCCACCTTCCCTGCCGGCGGGCCACGGCGCATCAGGACCAGGGTTGGGTGCCGAGAGCGCCTCGTCCCGGGCAGCAGGGCCCCCCTCGCCCATCGTGCAGTGCACTTTTGGGGAACCTGGTGCTAAACCGCTTTCTGGGCGGTGGTTTCCCACGTAGCACAGCGGCTCCCTCGCTGCGATCAACTGAGAGTCAGCCCTCCTTTAAAAGAAAATGAAACGTGAATTTAAGGTCGCAGCTGGTGAATGCTGGCCGATCGTGTGAAATAGAGAATGACAAGAACGTCTGAGGGTTGCGGTGGAGTGGAGGGATTGGGAAAGTAGTTTCGTGTTCTGACCTGGGGCTCCGAGGACCTGCGGCGTTTGGTGGAAGGACGGTTTCTGTCCCCAGATGCTCACAGCAGAGCTGGCTTCCCCGTGGAAGTGCGTCGCAGTGGCAGGGGAGAGGTTGTAGCCAGGCGGACGGGGAAGCCAGGCGGAGGTCTAAAGCCACGGCATGCGTCTGTTGACAGGCGTGTCGGGCGGCTGTGCAGGCCGAGATTGTCCCCCTCGTTCTTGCTTGAGGTAGCCGAGTGTGCTTTCAGATGCCTCGCACTCGGCGGGGAGGGGGCGGGGAGCTGCAGCCAGGACCTGGTGGTGGGCTCCCAGGGGCTCTGGGGAGCTGAGGGCGGGGGGCCTGCAGGAAGGGGCTCCTCCTTCCAGGGCTTTCCCTCCAGGTGCTCGCTTAGGTGCAGCATGTTGGAGGGCTGGCGGCCTCACCGTGCAGCGATGCTCTGGGGCGGTTGACACGCCGGGCCGTCCTTGGGTGGCAGGGGTATTCCCGAGGGTCATGGCAGCTGCCCCGAGGCCCCGCCAAGGAGCCTTCCTTGTCTCCTCACAGCCTCCGGCCTCACCAGCCTGCGTGCATCTGGTCCCTGACCCCTCCTGCGGCCCAGCCTTCTGCTCCACCCCATGTGGTGGCAGTGACAGCCTGGTAGCAGTGAGCACACTTGGCCCCCAGCCCTTGGCTTTGAACCTCCCCACAAAGAGGAACCAGGGCTCCCTGGAATCCAAGCTCCTCAACAGCTGGGACAGCAGTGGTAGCAGAGGAGCCCGGGTCAGAAAGTAAAGGAAGAAAGTGGGTACTTCTGGGGTGGCCAGTGTGGACTCAGATTGTTTTCTCATTTCTTTCAACAATGCTGTGCAGTTTCATGTCTTTTAATGTTATTGTAAGTAGATTTTTTTATTATAAAAGAAACAATCTAGAATTTACCACTTAACCATTTTTAGGTCTGTGCTCCTGTGGCACTGGGTACCTTCACAGTGTCATGAACGTCCCTGCCGTCGTCTCCGGAACTCTGGCCCCATTTCACACGGCCCCTCCACCCCCTCCCACCAGCCCCTGACACCCACCGTCTGCCTCCCGGCTCCGTGATCTGACTCCGCTGGGGCCTCGTGTAAGTGAGAGGACGGAGCATTTGTCCCTTCGTAACTGGCTTATTTCAGTCGGTATGATGTCACAGGCTCATCCATGTGGTGGCAGGTGGCAAGATGTCCTATTTTTTTTGAAGCTGAATAACATTCTGTTGTGTGGATGGACCACATTTTGTTCATCCATCCATCTGTCAGGGGCACTGGGTTTCTTCCATCGTCTGGCTCTTGTAAGTAAACAGGAAATTTCAGTCTCCAGCTGTTGATTGCTAGTACGGTTGACCCTTGAACAACACAAGCTTGAACTGTGTGGATCCATCCATACGTGGGTTTATTTTTTATGAATATATAAACATGTAAAAAGTATAAAAACATATACGCTACTGTAAATATACTTTCTTTGGTGATTTTCTTGATGTTTTCTTTCATCTGGCCTTATTGTAAGAATGCAGCATATAATACCTACAGCATACAAGATGTGTGTTAATTGACTATGTTATCGATAAGGATTCTCGTCAATAGCCCATTAGGCTTTTAGTAGTTAAGTTTTTGAGGGGTCAAAATTTATATGAGGGTTTTTAAAATATTTTTTTCTAATGTATGCTTATTTTTGTAAGAGAGAGAGAGCAAGCATGAGTGGGGGAGGGGCAGAGAGAGAGGGAGACACAGAATCCAAAGCAGGTTCCAGGCTCTGAGCTGTCAGCACAGAACCAAATGCAGGGCTCAAACCCACAAACTGTGTGGTCATGACCTGAGCTGAAGTCAGATGCTTAACCAACTGAGCCACCCAGCCACCCCTAAATGAGGATTTTTGACTATGTGGGGGAGTCAGTGCCTATAACCCTGTATTGTTCAAGGGTCAATCATATATAGAAATACAATTGATTTTTACAAAGCTTTTTTAAATGCTTATTTATTTTGAGAGAGAGAGAGGGAGAGAATCCCAAGCAGGCTCCGTGCTGTCTGTGGAGAGCATGGTGCAGGGCTCAAACTCAGGAACCGTGAGATCATGACCTGAGCTGAAATCCAGAGTCAGACACTCAGCCGACTGAGCCAGCTAGGTGCCCCCACAACTGATTTTCATATGTTGATCTTATATCTTGCAGACTCACCAAACTCAGTTCTGGGATCTTTTTTGGGCTTTTTTGTTATTCTTGTTTTTAAAGATTTTGCTTTTTTAAAAAAATATTTTTAACATTTATTTATTATTGAGAGACAGAGCATAAGCATGGGAGGGACAGAGAGAGGCAGAGACACAGAATCCGAAGTAGGCTGCAGGCTCTGAGCGGTCAGCACAGAGCCTGACACGGGGCTCGAACCCACGACCCATGAGATCATGACCTGAGCTGAAGTCGGATGCTTAACGGACTGAGCCACCCAGGCGCCCCAAGATTTTATTTTTTTAAAAGTTTACTTTTAAGAGAGAGAGAAAAAGCAGGGGATAGGGGTGGGGGGTTGGAGCATGGACAGAGGATCCAAAGTGGGCTCTGCGCTGACAGCAGAGAGCCTAATGCAGGGCTTGGATTTGCAAACCACGAGATCATGGACCTGAGTTATACAGATACTACTTTTAAGTAATCTCTACACCCAGAGTGAGGCTTAAACTCATAATCCCAAGATCAAGAGTTGCATGCTTCACCAGCTGAGCCAGCCAGGTGCCCCTCTGGTATCTTTTTTGTAAATTCCATCAGTTTTTATCAGGAATGAATTTTGCATTTTGTCAAATGCTTTTTCTGCATCTATTTAGATGATTATACGGTTTTCCTTTTTCTTGGTTTTGTTGGTTAAATGTGTAAGATTGTAAGAGTAGATCAAAATGCGAGATGTAACTGCATGCAGTCTACAAGAAACACCTTAAATGTGAAGACACAAACAGGTGCCTGGCTCACTCAGCCAGTGGAGCCTGTGACTCTTGATCTTGGGATTATGAGTTTGAGACCCGTGTTGGGTGTAGAGATGGTTTAAAAGTAAATCTGAAAAAAAACAACAACAGTAAAGGCACAAATAGATTCAAAGTGAAAACATGAAAGAAGGTGAGTGGTGCTAACAGTAGTCAGAAGAAAGCTGACATGGCTACCTTGATATCAGACGAAGTTGCTTTCGTAGCAAAGACTCCCAGTGATGAAGAGAGGGTCATCCTCGTATTTAATAGTTCATAATGTGAAAGGGGTCCAGTCATCAAAAGGACATAATGTTCCTAAACATTCGTGGACCTAATGACGGAAGCCAGATGCCAAAGAATGTACTATACGGTTCCTTGTAAGCAAATTCATAGAAATAAGTCAATTTACTGTTTGCCCAGGGCTGAGAGTACAAATGGAGGTTGACTGGAGATGGACACAGGGGACTTCAGGGCGCAGCGGAAATGCCCTAGTGGTGGGTTTCGGCGACGGCTTCACAGTCCGTAAATTTACCAGAAATCATTGAGTTGCACACTTACAGGGGTGGGTGTTATGGAAGTAAATTAAACCTTGATGGAACTACTAAAAGACAGTTAAGGAGAAATGTCAAAAACACAGACACCAACTTGAAGGGTCTTTGTTTGGTCGAATCTGGGAGCATTTGAGCAAAAAATAAAAATAGTAATAAATTATAAACAAATGAAAAAGTACAGGAACCCATGAGTCTGTTTCGACAATAAATAGAGAAGTAAACGTGTAGGTTTGTACACGGGAAGGAGGTTTGTACATGGGAAGACAGGCTCAAGGTCAGGGTCCCTGTTCCATGACCCTCGGAGCAGAGCCTGGTTTGGGAAGAGCCGGCATGAATGCTGTGCAGGGAGAGAAGCCTCAGGCGTCTCCTCCACAGACTGCTGGGCAGTCCCAGCCGGGGCAGGCAGTTCCCAACCGCCAGGAAGGGCCGCCAGGATTTCGGGAGCAGCGTGGTGTCAGATAAGGCCGAAATGAAGCTGTTTCTAGGAATGACCTTGCTTTTCCGAAGACGTGGCAGCGGAAATGCACGGTGTTGACCGGCACGAGAGTGCACCTTGCTTCCTGCGAGCTTACATGGTCTGGAGTCAAATGGTGTTGACTGAGTGGATTGGAGAGAAAGCTGCCCGGAGACGCAGCAGCCAGTGTCCACTCTCCTCGGGGGGGTTCGATGATTTCACCTTGTGAATGTCGTCAGCGGCGTCAGCAGTAGTGGGTTCATGTTGAGGAAGCACCCCGGTTTGGGTCGACTTATTGCTGCGTGTGCCGTGGTAGGTCAGACCCTCTCGAGAAACACCCGCGGCGCTCTCCTTTCTGCAGCCCCTTTGCGGTGGGCGGTGTGGCCACGGCCTTCCCTGGCGACTCTTTGCCGCGACAGCCGGTCCTCGACCTGCCGCTCTCCGGCTGGCTTCCGAGTTCGGGGGCAGCGCGGTGGCTGCGACAGGCTGTCTCTGCAGAGCGGGACCCCCGGTGGGCGGGGCGTGTAGGGACAGGGTGGCCCACCCCCCACGCTAGCTTCCGCCCCTCCTAGCCTTTCTGAAGGCTGTCTTCCTGCGGTTTGGACGCTGGAGAAAGAGATGCCTTTGGGAGCAGCCGAGCTGTTGGCACTTAGCGCTCTCGCCGACCCCTGCCGGGCCTTGCCTGCCGTCGCTGCCCTGATGGTCGTGCGAGCAGTGTTCTCGCCTCCCCGCCTGACCGCTTCCTCCTTCCCCCAGTTTCTCCGGATATGCGCTGACCTCTTCCGCCTGGTCCCCTTCCTGGTCTTTGTGGTCGTGCCGTTCATGGAGTTCCTGCTCCCTGTCGCCGTGAAGCTCTTCCCCAACATGTTGCCGTCCACGTTCGAGACCCAGTCCATCAAGGTGATGGGGCGTCGGGGGCCGTGAGCTCATTTCAGAGCAAATTTGGACGTAGTTAATGACGTCCGCGTCGTTAGGGACTGACGTTCAGACGGTCGATGATTTTAAAGTTGTGTTTTCCTCCTAATTCGGCCATGCTGTGCTGTGATTAATAGATGGTGGATTACGGAGTTGTTTTTCTTTAAGTGTGTTTTAAAGTACGGTCTCTGTAGCCCACTGTCCTTCAGGCCACAGGGAGAGGCCGTCAGTGGGCGGTAACCACGGAGGGCAGGGTTCACCTGTTGTAGCCCAGGGGCTGGGCAGGCAGCTGCGGTCCCCGCAGAGTCACAGAAGTGTGTCACACACAGCCGATGATGCTTAGAAGCTTCAGTGGCCGGTCCCTGCTCTGAGGGGCCACACGAATATCTTTTAGAGGCACAAACTAGAAGAGCAGTTCTGGGAATGCTCAGCACCTGGGGGCAGCAGGGAGTGTGTGCTGCTCAGGAAAGTGCGGGAGGTGCTGGGTCCCCATCGGATGGGTGGAAGCGGCTGCCCTGACTTGGGGGGGGCAGGGTGCGGGGGCCAAGGCAGCATAGCACCCTCTCTCTGATCTCACAGGAGGAGAGGCTGAAGAAGGAGCTGCGGGTCAAGCTGGAGCTGGCCAAGTTCCTCCAGGACACCATCGAGGAGATGGCCCTGAAGAACAAGGCAGCTAAGGGGAATGCCACCAAAGACTTCTCCGTGTTTTTCCAGAAGGTGCTGTGATGCTTCAGAGCCCTGGGGGCCTTAGCCCACTGGTCCCAAGTGCTGCTTAGGGCCTCAGGGCCACCCTGTCTTATGTAGGGGTGCGCCTCCCTTCCTCTCTTCCCTCTTGTTTACTGTGCACAGTGGGAATGGAGCCCCCTGGCCGGCGTGGGCTGGCGCTGAGAAGGCTGGGGGGCGGGGGGACTTCCTGGGCTCTGTGAGGTCAGGCCTGCTGTCCTGAGAACTTGAACTTGCTGACATTCAGAATGATTTGCCTGTGTCTCTGCACTTTGAGGCAGCCTCAGGGGAGGCAGAGTTTGGCAGATTGGGAGTCCAGACCCTGCAGTCGTGATGAGCTGGGAGGCCAGGCTGGGGGAGGAGGGGACGGACCCCAGCCTTGGCTCTGCTGGCTCTGTGGCAGGGGCGGGAAGGGTCCATGGGCAGGAGGGAGGCCAGAAGCTGCCTGGAGGCCTCACCTTCCTGGGAGCCAGTGCAGGCCTGGTGACAGGGTGGATCGAGGGGGGGTGTGGGTGGTCCTGGTCCAGGCCACTTCCAGCGAGGCACGTGGCTCAAGGCCGTGGGTGGTGCTGGGGAAGCCCGGGCCCAGGGGTGACTCACTTGATTGCTGCCACAGATCCGAGAGACTGGCGAGAGGCCCAGCAATGAGGAGATCCTGCGCTTCTCCAAGTTGTTTGAGGACGAGCTGACCCTGGACAACCTGACGCGGCCTCAGCTGGTGGCTCTGTGCAAGCTGCTGGAGCTGCAGTCCATCGGCACCAACAACTTCCTGCGCTTCCAGCTCACCATGCGGCTGCGCTCCATCAAGGCCGACGACAAGGTGGGCACGATGACACCTGACCCCGCACCTTGGGCCCCCGCTGCAGGAACGGCAGGTGTCCTGACTGTAGGGGAGGCGGAGTCACCAGCGGCCCTGTATTCCCAGCTCGGGGCTGTGGGCACTTTGCCCCTCTTTGCCCACCCTGGCCCGCGTGCACACACCCAGTGCGCATGTGCGTCTACTGGAATGACGTTGGAACTGTGTGGTCCACACGGTCTGTGCCCTGGCGTGACTTTAGGAGACCTACCCATGTCGCTAAGTATTTGTTCAAGAGATGAATTTTAGTGATTGCTTAATGTCTTGTGGTGTAGACACATCGTAATTTATTCACCATTACTGTAGCTAACATTTCACTACCATCAGCAATGCTGTGATAAACAGCTTTTACAGCTCTTTCTGGCCATGGGTCCTGTCCCTGTGCTTTAATAAAATCACCTTTTTGCACTGAAAACAAAAAAACCACTGTCTTTTAACCTAGGCTTTTGTTACCCATCTTTGACGGTTTTCATAAAAAGAGGGACCTGGAGTTGGGGGTCCTGAGGAAAAGGGCAGGAGGGTCCACAGCAAATCTTGGCCCCTGCCTGGCTCGCTCCCAGGGCTGTGCCGGCCGCCGCGTCCCCCCGCCGGGCCCGCTCACAGCCCGGCGGCCTCACTGCATGTGCCTCCGGCGTGTTCTCGGGAAGAGCTCCTAACACTCCCCCTTCCCTCCGGCCCTGGCGCCTGCGGTCTGCTCGCTGTCGGGCTCCTGGGAGGCCTCCGTCCCAGACCACTCGTCGTCTGTGTTCTCGAACGTGCTCATCGTAGCTCACAACTGGCCGTCCGCTAGCTGTGGTCGGTGGGTCCTTTTCTTTTGTTTGCTTTCTCGGGCTGGAGTGCAGTACCTAGCTGTTCCTGAACGCAGACATCGGGAGAAGTTTCTGGGCGGGGCCCACCCGGGGCTGCTCCGCTGGAGGGCCACTCACCCTGAGACCGCTAACCACGAATCGGGGCTGGCCCTGCTGCGTCTGGTCTGTTCCCCCGCCGGAGTGTGGCCTGCAGCTTCCCTGCGTCCCCTCCCGGCGCCGCCCGCATGCCGGAGCCCGGGAGGCCCCTCTGCTCTGTGCCGACGGCCTGCCGGGCCCCTCGCTTCCGCGCTGCTTAGCTGGACACCAGAGTTGTCCCCTGCACGTCCCTCTCCCCAGGCGGCAGTCTCTTGACTCTGGCAGTTTTCTCTTGGCCTGGCGAGACATCTCTGTCTCTGAGCAGTGGCCTTCGGCCTGGACTCGGAGCCTGCACTAAGTATTGACAGGTGTCGCTGGGTCCCCGGTGGCTCACATCCCTGCCTGGTCGCCCGGTCGCCTGGTCTTTCCCGGTCCACGGGATCTTGCTGTCCCGGAGCGCTGTCGTGGTAGCTGTCCAGTCCCTTCAGGCACGTTCTGGTTTGTTTCAGCGGGGTAGCTGTAGACCTCAGCGGGGTGTGATCTGATGAGAACAACTCTTCATAGTTAGAAGTGGTGGAGCGTCACTGTGGGTTTGAAACGTTGAAAAGAAATCCTTCCTGTGCTGTGGTACACAGTGTGTCTCAGAGGCCGTGAGGGGGCTGACGTGGGCAGTCCTCGATGGGCCACCTCGCTCCAGGGGAGCCTGCGTGTGGCCACCCCCCACCTCGGGAGAGGCAGTTGGAGGGCAGGTGGTCTGGGCTGGAGTCCTGGCCACTCACTTGCTTTGTGACCTTGGATGAGTCTTCTTACTGCTCAGTGCCTCAGAATCCTATGAAATAAAACAGGCTCCACTGTCGAGAAGGTAGAAGGGGTCTCCTTTCTCCTGGACATTATGTAAAAATCAAATCCAAGAAGTCTCTGGAAAGTGGGAGAAGACCCTGGGACCCCAGGGCCAGCCAGGCAGGGCCCTGTGCCTTGGTGCTGAGGGAGCAGCAGCTGAGACGTGCTGAGCAGTGCAGGCTTTCGAAGGCCTGACAGGCTCCAGGCTGGATCAGTGGGTGGCGCGTACGACTCTCGATAATAAGGTTGTAAGTTTGAGCCCTGCGTTGGGCATAGAGATTATTTTAAAAAAGAAAAGGAAGAAGAAGAAACCACACACACAGAAAAACAACCCTAACAAATGCCTGCTCTCTCTGGCCAGGGGACAGGAAAGGGGCACCCCGGAGGCACCTGGGTGGCTCAGTTGGTTAAGTGTCCGACGCTTGATTTGGCTCAGGTCATGATCTCATGGTTCGTGAGATTCTCTCTCTCTCTCTCTCTGCCCCTTCCCCACTCACACTCTCTCTCTCAAAATAAATAAACATTTTTTAAAGAAAAGAAAGGGACTGCCTAGCAGGACAGAAGGCTTCAGACAGTAGTGCTCTACTCCAGCCAGAGCCCAGAGGAAACAGTCTCCCTGCTGCAGACACTGAGTCCTCCCCCCGCTCCGGGATGGCACAGCCGGCGTGGCTGCAGGGAGGGCTGACCGGCTGCTCCTTCCTCCCCAGCACGTGGGACCGAGCCATCCCTGTGTCCCCTGGGCACGGTGTCCCTGGAGACCAGCAGGGGACCGGGACCTCCACCTCGCGTGACAGTTCCGGGACCTTTGCCACACACCCCACGGGGATGGCGTCCGGAGGCGTGTGGAGGGCTGGCGGGAAGCCGGAGCTCGAGCCCCCTCCCCCGGCAGACACGGAGGTGCCCCTCCCTCGGGCCCGGTGGAGGCTGAGTGGGAGCCCGGCAGCAGTGAGGCAGCCCCTACACGTTCCAGACTGTACCGTGGGTGTAATTTGTGGGTGTAACCGAGAGGGGGCACAGATCAGCCCCGGAAGGGAGCTTATGACTTGCATTTGTGCCTGAAACGGGTACAGCCCCGACTCAGGATCTGAGGCCTTGATGCACTGGGGACCAGGAGGTAGGAGCAAGGGAGGCCATGGGCCTTGGCCTCTGTCACTAGTGTGTCGAGCCGCCAGCTGCGGAAGGCGGCACACGGGGCCCAGGCTTTGTGTTTGGAGGGTTTGAGACCTGATTCTTGCATCCCTGTGAGAAAAGGCCGGCAGTGGGGCCACCGGAGAAGGGAGGTGAGAAAGCAGACCGGACTCCCAGAGTGGCCATGCGGGGCGCCTCACCAGGCAGCTAGGAAGTGGGCCGCGTGGAGACATCGCCTCCAGGAGAAAAGAGGAGGCGAGGGGCGCCTGTGGACTCATTCGGTTAAGTGTCAGCTCTTGATTTTAGCTCAGGTCATGGTCTCACGGTTGGTGAGATCGAGCCCCACATCAGCTCCACACTGAGCAAGGAGGATGTTTGGGATTCTCTCTCCCTCTCTCTGCCCCTCCCCTGCTTGCATTCTCTCTCTCTCTAAATATATAAATAAAGAAAAAAGGGAGAAAGAAAACCAAATGGAATTTTTGAATTGAAAAATATAATTGAAAATAAAAAGCTCAATGGATGAGCTCTGCAGGAGAAAGGAGAGAACAGAAGACAGGATTGGTGAACTTTTAAGATAAAACTCTAGTGGGGCGCCTGGGTGGCTTAGTGGGTTAAGCGTCCGACTTTCGCTCAGGTCATGATCTCGTGGTTCGTGGGTTCGAGCCCCGCGTCGGGCTCTGTGCTGACTGCCAGCTCAGAGCCTGGAGCCTGTTTCAGTCTGTGACTCCCTCTCTCTCTGACCCTCCCCTGCTCATGCTGTCTCTCTCTCTCTCTCCTAGAAATTAAAAAAAACAACAACAACAACAACAACTCTAGAAATCTCCCCTCCAGGGTGGCTCCCCACCAGCTGGCTCAGGTGGAGGAGTGTGCCACTTTTTTTTTTTTTTTTTTAATGTTTTATTTAGTTTTGAGAGAGGAGGAGTTTTGGGGGAGGGGCAGAGAGAGAGGGGGAGACACAGAATCCAAAACAGGCTCCAGGCTCTGAGCTGCCAGCACAGAAGAACCCAACGCAGGGCTCAGACTCGTGAACCGTGAGATCCTGATCTGAGCTGAAGTCAAATGCTTAAACAACTGAGCCACCCAGGAGCCCCAAAGAGTGTGTGACTCTTGATCTTGGGTTGTGAGTTCAAGCCCCATGTTGGGTGTAGAAATTACTTAAATAAAAACTTAGAAAAAAACCCACCCATCTGAACATCTGAGAAAACAGTTAAAAAACAAGCAGGGTCTCAGCCACCTGTGGGATCAGAGGAAAGCATCTAACATACTCGTCATCGGAGTTCTGGAAAGAGAATAGGGAGACTAGAGCTGGGAAAGTGCTCAAAGAAATAACTCCTGAACTTCCCACATTCAGTAAGGGATCTAAGGCAACACACTTTATTTGTATTACATTTTTTTAAAGTTTATTTTGTGACAGAGCGCACACGGGTGTGTATGTGAGCAGGGGAGGGGCAGAGAGAGGGAGACCGGGAATCCCAAGCAGGCTCCACACTGTCCGCGCAGAGCCCAGCATGGGGCTCGAACTCACAAACCGTGAGATCATGACCGGAGCCGAAATCAAGAGTAGGATGCGTAACCAGCTGAGCCACCCAGGCGCCTGAGTCAACGCATTTTTAGAAGCTGAGTGAACCTCAGCGGGCCCGGCCCAAAGCTTCCCGCGTGAAGAGCGATCACAGTGACGCAAAGTAACACCAGGACAGATGGTTCGGACGGCGGTCAGAGAGACTGGCATCTGGCGCCGGGGGGCGGGGGACGACTCCACAGACCGCAGACCGCCTGTCAGAAACTGTGCGGCTGGATGGAGGGGAGCGATATTTCTCACATCCTGGAAAAAACCTGTCGGCTCCCAACCTTCTATGCAGCAAATAGCCTATAAAAAGGGGCGAGTCCAGACATTCTCAGAAGAAGGAAAACAGGACTGGCCGGCAGCACATCTGCCGTACGAGAACCTGGAGAACGGCCTCTCAGCAGGAAGTCGTGGATCCTTGAACAACGTGGAGGTTAGGACACTGGGCCCCCGCACAGCCCCGCACGGCGGCACCTTCCTTCCTGCGGGAGTGAAGTCACATTACACTGTGTAAGTTACCACAGCTGCACGAATGCTGTCAACATAAATTGTCTAGAAGGCAGCAGAAGCACCTTGTGAGTGTGTGTAAGTGGCTGCACTTGTTACAGGATTCTTGGCTCTGTGGGGTTTCAAGTTATCTGAGAGAGAAAATGCCCAAGATTAAAGGGAAGAATACCCAAACCACATGGATTTGACTCCATGAAAAATGCGCTCGTGCTGGGCAAGCAGGTGGCACAGCCCTGCCCTCCGTGCAGGACTTTGGGCTCCCGAGAAACTTAACTGCCGGTGGCCTGCTGTTGACCTGAAGCCTTACTGGGGACATGAACGGTTCATTAATCCCTGCTTTGTGCGTCTCGTGTATTACATACTGTGTCCGTGTGACGGAGTAAGCGAGGGGAAGGAAGACGGACGTTCCCAGCGTGCGGCGTTGACGGAAGCCTGTGCGTCAGTGGGCCTGCGCGGGCTCAGCGGGCCGGCGACCCCTGGAACGTGAAGAATGACCGCGGGCGGCCCGGTGGACTCCCTTCCCGTTGGCTTTCTGACCGCCGCGTGGTGGCTGAAGCAGAAGCGCCAGCGCCGTGCGGGCTCCCGGGAAGGAGGACACGCTAAGACGGGCTTGCACGAGAAGGAGAGGGCCGAGGGGCGTCCAGGGGGCGGGGTTTCCGCACTGCGTGGCCTGGAACAAGGACACGGATGGTGTGCGTCTGACGCCCGGAGCAGCCACCGAAGGTGCCCTGCGAGGAGGCCGACTCGGAAGCGTGTGGAACTCGTGTTTCCCACGGGAAGGTGGGAAAGGAAAACAAAAGCCCAGTTTTTTCATAATCCCCCCAAACGGGAAACAGCCCAGTTGTCCTTCGGTGGGAGAAGGTTTAGCCAGGATGTTCACACCGTGCAGCGCTACGTGGCCGTTGGTAACATGCACACGGCCTGCGGGCGCCGCCCGGGGACGCCCCATCCGTGCGGCGCTCACACACAGATGCAGACGGGACGGGACGGCTGGATTAGTGGTTGCCTCGGGCTTGGGAGGGGGCAGTGTGTCTGCAGGATGAGAGAGTTTCCTGCCGTGACTGGCTTGATGTCCCGGCTTCATTCTGCGTCTGGTTTTGTCACTGCGGTTCGGGAGACGCTGCCGCTGGGGGAAACTGTCCGTTACGCCTGCGCGCTGATCCCCACTCACCTCGGGATGAAAAGCTTCGCTCAGAAAACGGGAGCGATGGAACCGTCTGCCTCCCGGGGTCATTCTGAGGCTGAGTGGGGGGGGGCCGCGTGAGGCCGCGGGTGCGCTGCCCGGCACAGACGCGGAGCCACTCTGCTTCTTTCTTCTCACCCCTCCCCTGTCGCCCCTGCACTGTTTCTGTAACATTCTGTGTCTTCTGTCTCCGGGATTCTGGTTTATTTTTCTCCCTTGCATCACTGTGGCCTCAGGCTGGGGGGGTGGCCCTCTGGCTGAGGGGGGGCCTCTGGCTGAGGTCAGGATTGCCCCGCTCTCCACCCTTCCTCCGTCCTGCGGATGTCAGGAACCATGGGGCGGTGGGGAGGAGAGCACCGGGGTTCACGAGGAGGGGGAAGAAGAGGGAGGCGGTGTCAAGTGCAAGGGGCAGGGCGTGGGCAGAGGCCGGGTCAGTCCTGGCCACTCTGTGCCTCCCCAAGGCCCCCACTCCCCATCAGACAGTTCTGGTCACTTCGGGCCCAAAGCTGAGGCCTTAGTGGTGGCCCCTCACCCTGCGCTTGGTGAGGCGCCTCAGGAAGCTGTCTCACGGTTAGATGCTGGGCTCTGAGCACGTTCACAGAGACACCACAGCCCTCCAGTGACCTCTCCGTGTGTGGGTCATTGCCTTTCACAGCTGATCGCCGAGGAAGGGGTGGACAGCCTGAACGTCAAGGAGTTGCAGTCGGCGTGCCGGGCACGAGGCATGCGGGCCCTCGGGGTCACGGAGGATCGTCTGAGGGAGCAGCTGAAGCAGGTGCGTGGTCGAAGGCTTTCCCGTCTGTTGGACCAGCACAGAGAGGCCTGTTGCGGAAAGACCCGCCCCCCGGGCTCTGGGTCCCAGGAGAGGCAAACGGGACGAGGCCAGTGGGTGAGTCTGTGTCTTGAACCTTCGACTGCAGTGGCTGGAGCTGCACCTGCATCAGGAGATCCCCACGTCCCTGCTCATCCTGTCCCGGGCCATGTACCTCCCAGACACCCTCTCGCCCGCCGACCAGCTCAAGACCACGCTGCAGACACTCCCGGAGATCGTGGTGCGTGCCGCCCGGAGGCCCCTTCTGCGGCTCACGCCGGAAGGGGCCCCTCGCTTCTGGGGGAGGCAGCTGCAGAGACACCCCCTCCTTGGTCGGGGCAGCCCTTGGGTCCGCCCCCACCCTCCCGCTTCTCTCTCGCCTGTGTTCTCCGAGTGCCGAGCACTCCAGCGGCACGTGAGAAGGCGGCCCTTGGCCCCATTCGCCCACAGCTGGGGTCCCCGCGGTGCGAGCCGCTCCCCCTGGGAGCCCCGGCCGCGGCCCCTCTCAGACATGCAGGCAGGGGCCGGGGTGCCGCGCGGGCCTCACGGGCGTCCCCTCTCTGAAGGCGAAGGAGGCGCAGGTGAAGGCGGCCGAGGTGGAGGGCGAGCAGGTGGACAACAAGGCAAAGCTGGAGGCCACGCTGCGGGAGGAGGCGGCCATCCAGCAGGAGCTCCAGGAGAAGGAGCTGCGCCGGCGCTCGGGGGCGGCGGTGAGCGGGGCGCGGCCGCGCGGAGGGTGGCCCGGCAGGCGGGGGCCTTTCCGAGAGACCGCGTGTGCACCGGGCCCGGGCCCCGCGGCCCGCCGCCTCTGTCCTGGAACGGTTGGGAGCCACAGCGGGTGTGGGGGTGCCCCGGGTGGGGCTGCGGCCCCGGAGTGGGGGCCCTCGAGGGGTGTCCTCTGGAAGGCGTGGGACAGCTTCCCGGGGCTGCCAGGGAAGGGCCGACGGTGGAATTAGATGCCAGAGCCGCTCAGCCGGGGGCCTCGATTGACCCGGGAAGCGCGGCGCCCAGCCGCCTGGGTCGTGTCAGGGCGCCTGTCCGAGTCCCGCGGCGAAGCTCACAGCGCGTCACCTGCTGCCGGTCGACAGGCCCTCACAGCGCCCACTGGCACAGAGCAGGCCTGTCGAAAGCACGCCCCAGCCCCGGCCGGTGCCGACGCCTCGGGACGGCGGCCGGGGCGCAGCTGAGCCGCCAGTGCTCTTGGTTTTAGAAGGAAGCGGAGCTGGAGGTGACCGCAGAGACTGCCCCCGGGAGGCCAGTGGCCGAGCTGCAGCCGGAAGTGTCCGAGGCGACCCTGCCGTCCGAGGCCCTGAAGGACCCCGCCCCCATCCTGGAAGCCTCGAAGGTAACCGCGCCCGCGCACGCCCGGTGGCGGCTGTGTTGGAGCTGAACGGGAGGGTGAAGGGGGGCTGGCTCGAGGGTCGGGCTCCTGAGGAATAAGGTCGTGCGGGCTACGGCCTGGCTTAGGGCAGTAGTAGACCAGAGAGAGGTTTCTGGGAGGTGCGTCGTGGTGAGAGAAGAGCTGGCTGGGCTGCAGGCTTCGGGCGTGAGCGCCTGGAAGGTTGAGGCGCCCTCTGAACCCCGAATGGCAGGGGCTCGCCCAGAGGCAGGTCTGCAGGCCCGTTCCTTGGCTGGGCTGCGCGCTGTCCCCTGCCCCGTCCCCGCCTGATGTGCTGTGCGCCGTAGCGGCCCTTCTGCCGGGGTGGCCTCACTGTCCGGCCCGTAGCCCACTCCCCTCGCGGGACGCCTTCCGTCTTGAACTCCTAGGTGTCAGGTAGACACACAGCGGAGGCATCAGTTTGGCAGCAGAGTAGGAGAGAGACCAGGGCATTAGACCCACGTTGGGTGATTTCGAGCAGGGTCCCAGGGGGCTGAGCGAGGGTGGCCTCCGTGTGCAGAGGTCAGAGGAGATGCAGGGTGGTAATGGCAGCGGCAGTTGGGCCTCCCCCCCCTCCCCCGCAGCCCAGCATGTCTGCGCCTGAGTTGGAGGAGGCTGCGTCGGGGGGACGGTGGGCTTCGTCGGGGGTATTGAGGGCCGAGTGGGGAAGGCCTGAAGACTGACTCCTAATGGGGGGGGGGGGTCTGTGGCCTCAGCGGGAGCAGTTTGGAGTGGAAGTGGCAGGAGAAGGCCCCCCACGGGTGTCTCCAGGCCTGGGGGAGGGCGGGGAGGGCCGCACGGGAGCAGGGAGGCTTGGGGCTCGGGGAAGATCTAGACCGGAAGCCGAGGGGTAGTGGGTCTGCTGGTGTCTGCTGGGGGGGTGAGGGGTAGTGGTGGGGAGGGAGGCCAAGGCCATCCTGAGACGACCTAGGAGACCCATGGAAACAGACGTGCGGTGGTGTCAGCACCTCGAGGCAGGACGGCGGGGAGAGGGTCCTGGGAGCCTGGCCAAGCTGGCCTCAAATGGTGACCCGAGGAATGGCCAGGGCCCGAGTTGTCTGGGTCGTTTTTAAGTGGGGGGGCCAAGGCTGGGGTGTGGACAGCTGAGCAGAGATGGAGCCCGGCTGGGCCCACGTGGTTCAGGGAGAAGGAGGCACCTGTCATTAAACAGCTGGGGCGCTGGGCTGTCTCCACGGAACCGAGGCATCCCCTCCACGGATTCGAGACCTGAGTGAGAAAGGATGCATGGAACTCTCCAGAGAACCAGGCCTTACCCCGAATTTCCTAGCAGGAGAACCTCTGTTCCCTGGAAAGATGCCATAAAGAGTGAGTGGAACAAGTGGGCGTGTTCTGGCTTACGGCTGCCTCTCAGGTTTTAGTGGCGCCGAGCGTCTGCAGGGGCCAACGGAGACGCCGCACAGCTCTTCTGTGGGGGGACGTGGGGGACGGACGGAGACCCCGGCTCTACCTCTGCACAGAAATCGATCTTGCAGCCGAAACCCTTTCCATGGAGAAACCCAGGCCCTCGTGGCTTCACAGGCAAAGCTCCCAGTGAGTCTGAATGTGTAAGGAAGGGATCCTTCCGGTGGAAGATCGTCTCCTAGGTCACTGTGCGGTGAGCACCGGGTCCTCAGGAGAAGACTTCGGAACCGCGTCCTGCGTGAACATGGGTGTGAAAGTTCTGAGCAAACTGGTAGCAGGTCGCATGCGTCTGTTGTGTAGAAACCCCGTGCTCTCGTGGGGCTTGTCCTGGAGCCCAGAACGGCGGTCAGCGTGATGACCATGTAACACGCCGGAGGGAAAAGCCACGTACAATCATCTCAGCAAATGCAGAAAAAAGTACTTCACGGAATCCAGCATCTGTTCCTGATGAGGAAACACATTTCTCAGCCAGCAGAGGGGACTGTCACCCCAGTGAAAAGACATCTGTAGAGATGCCGCAGCTGGCACGGCCCCTGGCCAGGGCGCCCGCTCCTGTTAGCCCCGTGCAGAGATTGGGGCCAGGACACCGAGGCAAGAAAAAAAATAAAAGCACGGAGCCAAAAGGAAGAAATGAAACTGCCCATTCACAGAGCGTGTGAGCAGCTGCCAATCCGCTGTGTTCTCTGTACGGGTAATGGGCAGTTGGGTTGAAGTTTCAAAAAGTATCGTTTCCAGCCCCTAAGGTGACCTGTACGCTGAACGCGGTCAAGTGTTGAGGTTCATTACCTGGAACAGATTTCCTGCACTCAGATGCCTGCAAGGTTAATTCTCCAACTGATCCACAGGTTCAAAACCATCAACATCCCAGTAGGCTCTTTGTTGAAACGAACAGACTTCTAAGATGTCTGTGAAAGTTCAGAGGAGCCACAGTGCAGACCGGTGGTGAGCGCGTTGGGTGTGTGCTCTGGACAGAACACCGTTCAGCACCTGAGAGGCGCTGGCAACACCGAGTCTCCCCTTAAGGGGGTGACCTGCTCGCTGAGCGACCAGACAGCTGCTCCGAGGTTTCGGGGGGGGCGAGGGGCCCCGATCAGGGGTGCTGGTTTCCTGGGTGCGCGTGCAGGTCATGGGCACGCTCCGGCACGCCTGGGTGCCACAGATGGAGAGCACGGGGACTGTGCATCTCCTCTGGCCTCTGCCCACGGCGGTGGGAGCGGACTCCCGGGCGGGGTAAGGACTCCCGAGCTGCACCTTGGTTTTCTCCCCAGGAAGAGGAAATCACGAAGGAGGAGATTGACATAATCAGCAACGCCTGCTCGAAGCTGAAGGAGCAGAAGTCGTCCCTGACCAAGGAGAAGGAGGAGCTGGAGATGCTGAAGGAGGACGTCCAGGACTACAGCCAGGTGCGCGGGGCGCGGGGGGCGGGGGGGGGGGGGGAGGGGGCGGGGCGGGTGGGTGGGGCGGGGGGCGGGGCCGGGGGCGGGTGCCCTTCCACTCCGCAGGCCTGGACCAGGAAAGGTACCCCGGGGCCCCACAGCTGCTGGAGGCGCCTGCCCCAGGTCCTCCTGCGCCCCGGCTGCCTTCCTCAGCGACAAGGACTCGCCCCTTGTAGTTTTTAAAGGCACATGAGGGATCGGATGAATGGTCTGGTTGTTTGATAAAGGAAATCTTAGTTTCTTTCATACTTACTGGAAAGAGACTTCTTTCTTACACAGTTCTTTTACTTTGTTTTTTGAGTTTTTTTTCTATAAGAAAATACGTTTGTTTACAAATATTACTTTATTATCTGATTTCCAAGAGCTGTGTTGCCATCTGGCTGGCTGAGTTGTGGAGCGTGCAACTCTTGACCTTGGGGTTGTGAGTTTGAGCCCTACATCGGGCGTAGAGCCCACTTTCTAAAAAGGTGTAAAAGAGCTCTGTTCTCACAGATCTGTTTGGAAGAGCTGAACTAGTTTTGACATTGGTAAAAAGAATTTGCCATTTTCATAGCAACCCTCTTGCTGTGTGACTTCTCTGTTGGAAATAAGGTGTTTACCAGAAACTCAGTCTTTTTCCTCATCTCCAGCCCCATCTTCATTCTTCCCTGTAATGCTTGCTCATGGGGAGAAACCATGACTCAACTTAAGAAGACATTTTTTGTTCCTTGATTCTTCCATCCGTTTATTTAGTCTCTTAAATTATGTAGAAAGTTGATGTTCAAATAGATTCCATTTTCTTTGCTACAGAAACAATATTTGAGTTTGGAAAACTAAGCTGATTTGTAGGATACAAATAAGACTTCGCAGCTCTCTGTGGCTGGAATTAGTGTGTTTCTTTTCTGTTTTGTTAATGACCTGGAACTGTCTTTGTGATACCACTTTGGGTTATTTTAACTTTTACAAGGTAAAGTTAATTGTAAGGTTCCTTTTTTTTTTTTTTTGAGACAATCTTTTATCACTAACTTAATTAGGACCTGCAAGAGATCAAGAAGGAACTTTCAAAGACGGGCAAAGAGATCTATGTGGAAGAGTCTAAAGCCAGCAAGAGGCTGACGAAGAGGGTGCAGCAGATGATCGGGCAGATAGATAGCCTGCTGGCACAGCTGGAGACAGACCAGAAGGCCGGCAAGCTGGGCGCGGCCGCCGAGGGCCCGCCTGCGGGGTGAGCGTGATCACATGCCAGCACGGGGAGACTCGGGGCCTGTCTGACCTTGACGTGCTTCTCTGCCATGGTGCCAGCCAGAAGCCCAGCCTCATCTTTTCAGGATCCACTTCTCAGTAATTGTTTGCTGAAGTAGCTCCCGGGGTCACCTCTTCTGCACACGTACGCACACACACGCACGCATGCATGCCTCAGCCACTGTCAGGACCACAGCAGCTCTGTGGCCTGGCTGGTCCCCCCTGGCCACCATAGCCTTCCCCTCTCTCCAGGCTGCCATCAAGCTGGTCCTTCCAGAATGTACTTAGGACTGCAGCTCCCCTGGGAGCCCCAGGCTTTCCTCTCTCCAGCTGCAGCCACACTCTGCTCTGATTCCCCAGACGCACAGGTGCTGTCCTGCCTCCTCCCTCTTCCCGAGCCCTCTACACACACGTGCTCAGTGACAGCCCTCACCCTGGAGGTCGTTGTGTGAGTGGCTGTCAGGCCAAGGAGGCGACCCTGCCAGGTGGCAACGGCTGACGCTCCGGGCTGGGCACTGTGTGCTGAGCGCCTGCGTCTCGGGGGCGGGGGGCTGGCTGCAGGGCCCCTGCTGTCCTCGGGTTGGGGGTTTTCACCCCCAGGACAAGGTCAGGGCCCTTTCCAGAGGTGACCTGCCATGCAGTGTGGGCCCACTGTGACCATGACACAGACAGGCCCGAGGAACCTGGTCCCCATAACCACGGGGCTCTGTGTCCCCATCGCCGGTGCAGAGGCGGGGCTCACAAGGGGACTGCACACATGCGGAGGCCGGGGACTGGAGTGGCTTCTGGTTTTGTCCGCGCCTTCCCACGTGCAGGAGCATGGGAGCCCCGGAGGGAGAGGGCGTCCGGGTCGGGGCTGTGGCCTGCGGGAGGCCCGGGGGGGCTGTGGGTGCGTCTGTGCCACCTGCAGGCTGTGTCCCCCCAGGGAGACCGTCATCAGCACCGCCGAGCTCATCAGTGCCATGAAGCAGATCAAGCACATTCCGGAGAACAAGCTCATCAGCTTGGTCTCGGCGCTGGATGAGAATAAGGATGGCAAGGTCAACATCGACGATCTCGCCAAGGTGAGTCGGGCGGCTGGGGCCGGGCCGGGGGCTTGCACTGGGCGCGTTGTCCCCACGCGGCCCCGTCCCTGCCCTCACACAGAGCGAGGAACACGGTGTCAGGATGCCCATCCAGAGCAGCCCGCCTACTTTTTGACAGGGCACTTGGCTCCTCCTGCATCGAGCGGGTCTGTGGGCGGTCTGGGAAGTGGGTCACCGGCAGGGCGCCTGGGGCTCGCGGACCTCGGGGAGGCCGTGTGTCCGCTTCAGTCCCGGCGGCGAGCGTGTGGGCACGGGGGCCACTCGGGTCCCTGGTGCGGAGAGCTGGGCCGCCTGGGAAACCCAGAGTGGTGTCCCCCTTCGTAAGGAGGCCTGTGGGCTCGTGTTTCCCAGGAGAGAGGCTCTTCACAGTGCTGGATCGGTTCCTAGTCTTTCCAGCTAGTTAGCGAGTTTTTGTACGTTTCCCAAGCAGATCTGACTTACCGTGTTGTCCAGCGGGAAGGGCAGGTGTCAGCAGGCACACACGCTGGGCGTCATTGCTCTGCCGGCGGCAGAGGCTGGGAGGCCCGAGCCCATGCAACCTGCCCCTTCCCGGGGGCCCCTCTCCTTGGTGCGGACGGCAGCTCGCGTGTTCTCGCCCTGCACACTGCTGGACCCTGTCCAGGGCAGGCCCCCAGGCCCCGAGCAGGGAGCCAGCGCAGCAGTCTCGCGTGCCGTCCGGCCTGCCTTGCGCTTCACCACTCCTTCCTGCACCCCAGGCCCCGTAGGAAGCGCCCCCGGCGTCCTCGAGAACCGCACATCCCCTGCTCCCGGAGCCCCTCTCTCTCGGGGCGCGTAGCCTGGTCTGGGGCTTGGTCTGTTGGCCTCCTAGGGGTGGGTGGTGTCTGGTCCTCTGAGAACCAGGGCAGCCGAGGGACCCCGGGGGCTTCACGCTGGGACAGTGCTGATGGCCATTCAGCAAGGCAGCCGGGGTCACAGCTTGAGGGGAGCCGTGCCGTGTTCCCAGCGTGTCCCCCGTGCGCTCCCCCGAGTCCCCTGTCCCTGTCGTGTGTGCCTAGGTGATCGACCTGGTGGACAAAGAAGACATTCAGATCTCCACCAGCCAGATGGCCGAGATTGTCGCCATGTTGGAAAAGGAGGGGAAGGTGGAGGAGAAGGAGAAGGCCAAGGAGAAGGCGGAGAAGGAGGCGGAGAAGGAGGCTGCTGAGGTGAAGAATTAGGGGCCGCCCTGCTCGCGGGCACCCTGGGGCCCTTGCCGTGTCTGCCTCCCTCCCGGTGCGCCGGCTGCCGCGGTGCTGCTGTGCCAGTGATGGCTTTGAGGTGATTCGTAGTGACAGATCTAATATTTTATCTGGAATAAATCAGAAACTTCCATAATCAAGTAATTTTTAATTTTCATCATTCCATGAAGATTCATTCAGTCTGGAGTCCCCGCCTCCAGGGGCTCATGTCTGGACTCACAGCGGCGGCCCCGGCCCCGGTGGCCGGGCAGTCGTGGCCGCACGCGGGCCTCCTGGCTCCCGAGGCGGGCCGGGGCACACTGGGGCACTGTCCCCGGAGGAGAAAGGGCCGGCCGAGTGGACGGGAAGGGGACACACGCAGCCCTCCCCAGTGCTGGAGAAGACGCGTCCGGTAGTCGGTCTGCGCACTGGCTTCCTGACTATCAGCGTTAAAAGCACCGATTCGTGCACATTTCCAACGTCGTCTCTGTAGCGACGGGGATCCCGTGGCCTCTGGAGAAGCAGTTCCCGGTCATGTATGTCAGCTCTTGCCCGATCTAACCTCTGATTGTCACCCCGTCCTTCAGCAGTCGGCTAGTACGGGATTTTTCCGCACGACGGTCTGCCCACCGTGTGAGTGAGAGCTAACGGGAATCGTGTCGTGAGACGTATTAATGAAGCCCTTGAAAATTAAGCATTTCCATTTGAGTAATTTATCAGGCTGTTGTGGCTTTTAAAAAGTTTCCCATTTGGGGCCGTTAGCACCTCATCGCCCCTGTGGGGGATCAGAGCAGGTCCCACCGTGTGCCCGGGCCTGTGCTCTGCGTGTGCCCCTCCCCGTAGCCCTGCAGCACAGGGGTCCATGTTGCTCCCGCCCGCGCACTGCTGCCCCCGGCCCACCCCCGGGACACGCAGGCTGCCGGCTGTGCTCCTGGTCCTGAGGTGGCGTATCCTGGGGGGCTTCAGAAAGGCAGGACCCCGGTGTGGGTCTGCGTAGCGTGGCCCGGCATGCCTCTGTGGGGAGTGGGATGACCTCCGTGGGCTTGGCGCCCGGCCCTGGCGTCTGGTCATCTCGGCACCTGGCAGCTCGGGGCGGTGGTGCTCGGTGGGGGGTGGCCTGTGGTCTCAGCCCTGAGGCACTGGTCCTTCGGAGGCCACATCCGTTTCGGGCAAGAACGTTCTTTCAGGGGAATCTGAGCATAGGGGTCAGAAGGACGGTAACAGAGCAGCCGGAGCGGCGGAGCCCCCACAAACCCCGGCTTCTACGTTACTTGAAGCTTTTCATTCAGCCGTTAAAAGAGGAAACTTGACAAAATAGGAATAAGATTATGTATCATCATATGTAAACCTTTGTACAGTAGCAGTTGCGTTCTAAAGGGTTTTTACTTCAGTTGTTGGAGACAGAAATATATATATTCTAGATGCTTAATGAATATTTATGAATGACCTTACACTCACCTCACTAGCGGGTTTTCAGCCGTAGGAAGCGTGCGCATGCGCAGGTCTTGGGTCACCCACGTGCCCTGTGGGTGGCAGTGGCCTTTTCTGTGGGCACTGCCTTGGGACCCGGCGAGCCGTGCCCACCTCCCATCCTCAGCCTCGGCGCTCCTGGCTTCCCCACCGCGTGCTGTCCCTGCGGCGCTCGCGCTGTGCCCCTGACCTGGGTCTCTGCACTGTCACCCCTGGGTGCCACGGGGCCTCTCGAATGCATATGGGCCTGTCCCGCCGCTGGCAGCCTTCAGTGTCGGTGAGTAGGCTGCAGGGCCCCCTGTCGTGTGTGGGCTTTTACCGCTGTAACTTCACTGACCGCCTGGTGCAGGCAGGGGACAGCAGCCCCAGAGACAGAGGCGTGCGCTAAGGGTCAGCCTCCCTGCTCTGTCCAGGGGGGGCTCCCGTATTTTCAGGACCCGGGGGGAAAGTGGGGTACGGCCACTTGAGAATGAAACAGGAATTCCTAGCACTTGCCTCCTCCTTCACTCTGCCTGAACACCCGCTCTTTTAGTTGGGATTCAGGAAATTGCATGTGGCCCCTGGAGCCCTTCTGGAATGTCAGAATCCAGACTTTGTAACTGAAGGGCACTTTGTAATTTTTGAAGAAGCAGCCACAGGCAGTGGCTCTCACAGCGCAGCCTGGGGTCCGCAGGGCCCACGTGTCGTCCTGGGGTCCCAGGGCCGTCCCACTGAGAGCCTCCCTCCTGGGCTGCGTGTAAACATCTTTTGTAGAAATAGGGTTTTTATTAAAACATGAAATTACTGCTCCCGTAACATCTCAAAAGTAAGGTCTTTGAATCACGTGACACATCAGAAGTCAAGGTGGCAAATGTCAGGGTTGTTGCAGCATCTGCCTCTGTGACAGCTGTGCGCCCCGCGGTCTGGCTCTGCCTCTGCAGCGGAAGGGGTGGCAGGTGGCGGTATGTGTGGATGTGCTACGCGAGGCCAGATTCCAGATGGAGAGTCCCCTTCCGGCGCTGTGGCCCTGGCCTGGGGTGTCCGCTCGCCTTGTGACGGCGTGCCTCGGGCCCGGGCACCCAGACTGATCCCCATGGTGGTGACTAGACGCTGAACTTGATGTAAGGAGAAGGTTTAATAAAGCACTGTCTCGATGACTTCTGCCTGCCGTGCAATGGCTGCTTTGTCCGGATCGGGGACGGGGTGGGGGGGGGCACGGAGTGCCCGGGCTGCCCCTCCCCCAGCCCTCAGTGGGTGCCTTGGGGCCTGGGTGGGCAGAACTGGGATCCTGGCTCAAGGGTCACCCAGGAGGGCATGGTTCTCTGTGTGAGATACTCTGGGACGACGACTCGGGGGAGTGGGGGCTGCCCAGGGGCCTCCAGGGGCTCTCCCTTCCCTACCCTGCAGCCTGCTCCCCAGAGCGCTGAGGGGGCATGTGGGCAGCAGGGCCGCCTCGGGCTGCCTGTGCCCTGGGAGCAGGCCAGGCACGATGCGGCCTCCCCCCACCCTCCCGCCTCTCTCCAGCCCCCCTCCAGCGGACCGGTCACGGCCCGGAGTCCAGGACCTGCACTCTGTGTCCGGGCGCCTCACCCCTTCCCAGGCGCCAGGCCGCGCGGGCCGCCGTGTGGGTGCTTCCACCTGTGTCGGATCTCCTCCCTGACCTGCGTGCATCTCCGCCTGAGGCCCGCCTTGGCCATCGTTCCCTCTGCCTCATAGGTCCGGAAAGCTGGGGGCCGCGGGGCCTCAGCCCTTGCCTTCCCCCTGCCTGGGCCCTGGGCCAGTGGCTCCCATCCAGGTTCATTCTGGAGCCCATTTCTCGATGCCACGGTTTAGGCCACCAAGGCTCTGGGAAGGCTGACCAGGGGCGGAGGCGGGCATCGCCTAAGGAGGCGGCGCTGCAGGGGCCCAGCCGCTGGCCTGAGGGGATGCTCCCTCCGGGATGAGTTCAGGACAAGCGGGAGACGGCAGCTCACGGGCTGTGAACAGACACGCACGCCCCTGCTGGTGCAGACCATCACCCCAGTTCTCTCCTGAGATTCTACCCCCCACGTGCTGGTTAGGGAAAACCCCAGCTGGCAGAGCCTCAGAAACCCTGGAATCCACCTGTCCTGCTTTGCAAACCCGCAGAATGGGGCGGGGGACCGGCAGTGAGCTGGGGCCGCTGGGTGCTGGGGAGCCGGGTGCCCTGGCTCCGCGCCCTTCCTCCTGCCCCGGATGCCACCAGGGAATCCGAGGGCCCCACGGGAGCGCCAGGTGTCTAGGGCAAGGCTGCCCTACAGAACGCCCCGGGCAGAGACCGGGCAGGGCCCTTCCGCCGCAGGGAGATGCAGCGGCGTCGGCTGTGCGTGCTGGGGGCGGCCGGAGCCGGTGCACTGGGGCGGGGCCGCACCCTCTGAAGACCTTGGGAGCCCCCGCGCGGGGAGGAGGCCGCAGGGTGCGCCGGTGACGGATGGCGTCCCTCTTAGCGGGACAGACTGCGAGGAGGTGCGGGGGCGGGCAGCCGACTTCCTAGGAACCAGATAGGGAAGGGTGAGCCTGCGGGGGGCAGGAGTGTGGAGGCCTCCCGGGTGGAGGCGGCCCGGGGGCGAGGGCTGAAGGCGAGGGCCGGGGCCGGGCCCGGAATAGGGGAGCTCGCCACCCTCCGAGGCGGGGGGCGTGTCGCCCCTGAGGCCTGCCCCGGGGGCCGGGTCGGACCCCACCCGTTCCAGGAAGGACAGCCCGGGTGGCCAGTGGGGGGCGGGGCCGCAGGTGGCTCCGTACAGGTGCCGCCCGGCAGGGGCGGGGCGGGGCCGCGGGAGCGGCCGGAGCCGGAGGGTGAGGGGCGGAGAGGTTCCGGGCCTCGCGGAGGGCAGGGCTGCCCTTGCCTGCCGGCCCGGCCCACCTGGGGTCTCCGTCCGGCGTCCGGAAGACCGCCTGTGCCCTGGCGGCAGCGCCCCTAGTCCCGAGCGCGCACCCGGAGCCCAGCGGGGCCGCGCAGGAGGCTCCGGGACACGGGGAAACTCTGCCGGGCAGGCACTAGAGGGCGCTCCCGGCACGCGCTCCGCCCGCCTCCGCGTTTCCGGGCCCCTCCCCCCCCGCTCCCGGCTGGGCCCCTCCCCCTCCCCGGGCTTCCCCCGGGCTCCCCGGATCTGCGTCCCAGCCTGGCTCCCCGCAGGGCTCTCTGGCTCTCCCCGGGCTCCCCAGCCCCCCCACTCAGCACCCCACCGGGCTCCTGCGCACGTGGTCCACGCCCTCATTGCCCTCCATCTCTGCCCCTGTCCCCAGGCGCTGGACACAACAAACGGGGTCTCTGGCAGGCTGGAGGGTGTGGGGACTGCCTCCCTGCGTGGGTCAGGGCGCCAGGACCCTAGGGGCCCCGCCTGCTCTCCAGGGAGGCCTCAGAAACCGCTCACTCGTGGAGGGGGGGTTGAACTCACCCACAGGGAGCCAGTTTCTTAGAAGCCAGAGTGGAAGCTCACGCAGCTAGTGGCGGCATAGCGAGCTGCGTCCTGATGCGACCCGTCGTGAGGAGGGTCCGGCCAGAGGGGACGAGGGGACGGCCGGCCAGCCTCGGGCAGCGGGGAGCTCCAGAGGAGCCGGGCAAGTCTGTGCATGGGCGCCTGTCCCAGAATCCTCTCCAGTCTCACCGCCTGGCCTGGGCACCACCGGCCCGGTGAGGATTAGGTCTCCCCAGACTTGCCCCCACCATGCTGTGTGGGTGCCCTGCTCCATGTCCCCACTCCCTTAGACCCCGGAGCAGAGGGGGCCAGATCCTGTCACTGGGACCTCAGTGCCCCAGGGGCCACGTGCAGCGTGTGCCCCAAGTCAGGACAGGTGGAGTGCAGGCGGGGATGCCAGGCAGGCGTGGGGAAGGGAACGTCCAGACGCAGGAGCGTGGCCAGCAGGGCCGAGGGCGCTGTCCCTGGGTCTGGTGGGTCAGGGGCCAGGGGAGAGCTTTGCTTACATGTAGCTCCGTGGGGGGCAGGGGGACGACCCACCTGGAAACCCCCTCCCCCTCCCCAGGTGCCTCGGGTGAAAAGGGGGAGGCCTCAGGACCCCCGAGCCCACCTGGACTCCATGAGCTGGGGGCAGCTGGGGGGGGCTCGGCAGGCCTACTACAGCCTGGAAGGAAGGGGAGGCAGGCCCCGAGATGGTCTCGTCCCTCCCGTGCACACTACAGTGCCTGCATCCCTGCCCTCGGGGACCTGGGGCTGAGGCTCGGCCCTGCCAGCGCTGTGCACTCTCATTCTATCCCAGCCAGTGACCGTGGACAGCTTGTGACCCCGGCAGCCGGGGACCCCGCCCTCCTCAGGGAGCAGACAGACCCCATCCCGGGCAGACAGAGGGGACACAGCAGGGATGTGGACCAGTTGTCTGTTTATTTTTTGGAAAGCACGTCTGCCGGTTTGGGCTGACACCTTTGGGCCCCATGAGGCTGGGGGCCCTGAGAACAAAGACCACCCTGGACCACTGCCCGGCTGGCCGGCCGATGAGCAAACGAGAGCCACCCAAATTCGGGCCGTTAACAGTACAAAAAGTAACAAAACTGAATTCACGGCTTTCTCTCCCAAGCTTTGAAAGGTCGCAGTCTGGGCTATAAAAGTCTAGAAGCGTTGCGTAAGAAGTGTTAAATCTACAGCAAATACATCTTGTAAAAACTCAATAAATTATATATATAGATATATATAAACTTGTAACATCTAATAACCTCTGAACCTGCGTGCAGGGTCGGCCCCCCTGGGAAACTGCCTCCCCCACTCACGACACATGGCAATTAGAACTTGTATGAAAATACCAGCTCGCTTTGAAGTCCAAAAAAAATACACCTCCTAAAGAAAATCCCTATGGAAATCTAATTCCCCTGCGAAAGAAGGCCCAAGGAAATAAAATATCCACACTAGAATCACCTCAAACTATTAACGACCCTTAAGGGTGCAAGGGACCTGGCTGGGCTTTGGGGTGAAGCCCTTAGCGAGCCCTCTACGTGAAGCACGAACTTTCTCGGCTGTTAATAAGTTAAAACTGAAACCCGTGCCATGCGGCTGGCTACACACTATGAGCGTGGGGGGGGGGGGGGGGGGGGGGGGGGGGGGACAGGGCTTCTGGGGGTCGATAAATAGCTTTACAAATATACACTCTTTAGAACAAAGCTGCGGTGCCAGGAAAGCCTCCCCGTCTTCTGCTGGTTTTGGCCTTGGTCTCCCCGGCAGACCCCCCAGGGGGCCTCCAGGCCTGGGCCGCTGGGCCTCCTGCACCCTCAGAGCCCGGGCCCCATTAGACCGGCCCCCTCCTTCCGTATAGATTATCTATATATATACGTCCGTGTATGTCCTATACACAGTTATCTATTTATATAAATGTACACTCATTTCTGGAACGAACCTCTCAGACAGAAGTTAAAGCCTCCTGCCGTCAGGTACCCGTAATTCAGTCTCCAAGGAGCAGGGTGGGAAGTGGGGAGTCCTGGGGGGGGGCTGCGTGCTAGCACTCACTCACCCCCAGGCCCAAGGGGCCGCTTGGGTGGGAGGGGTGCCACGGGGGGGGGGGCTTCCCTGCAGGCTCAGCTTCGGCACTTGGAGGGGCCTCGGTCCGAGCTGGGTGCTGGAGCTCGGCCAGCCCCCCAGTGCTCCCGGAGGGGGAGCCAGGGGGAGGGGCCCGGGAGGAGCCCCTCTACATTCTACATTCGGCCCCCCTGGTGCCGCCAGCACACGTGGCCAGGAGGTCATTGTACAGCAGGGTGGGCACCCCAGGGACCCTGCACCGGGGACCTCGAGACTCACACCCGCACGCGCGGACGCACACAGATGCGACGCCGTCCGTCTGTCCACCTGACCCAGCAGGCCCCAGTGGTCGGCAGCGCGCCACCAGCGGCACGGTGAGCCGGGGGTGCTCTCACATTGGTGGGGGCTCGGCCCACAGGCCGGTGGCCCTTCACGTCCGCGGGCCCCCGCTGCCAGGAGGGGCTGGAGGCAGCAGGTCATGGGCGAACACGGAGTCGTCCCCCGAGGAGCTGGAGCTGGGGGTGTCCCGGCCGCCCGGCGAGTACTGCTCAAAGGGCACAGACAGGTCCAGGTACTCCTGCAGGAGGGCGGCTGTCAGGGCCGGCGCGTCCCCGCACCCCTGCTGGCCGCACCGCCCAGGCCCCGCCCCGCGGGGAGGTGGGGGCCGGCACTCACGT